TGGCAGGCAACTGGGGAGCCCCCAGCACCAGCCTGAGTGTTTCTGTGGGGAGGATCGCGGGAGGGGGGCTTAGGAGTCTGGCAGGAGGGGAGTCCCTGCCCGGGGCCTGGTTGCGGGGACGGGTCTGGTTTTGAAGTTGATCAGAGGACCCGGTCGCCCGGGCTCCCCTCGGAGCAGAGTCGACCGATGTGTGTGATGAATTTGCAAACGGGCGCGCGTCTCGGGACAGTGTGTACGCGGGAGCCTGCTGTTCCTGCGAAGCGGCAGCCAAATGTCACCGAGCTGGCTTTTATTTCCGTCCCAAGGATGGTGTCTGCTTAGCACCCGCCGCCTGGCGCTGTGCGGGCCGGTGGACTCAGCAAGTCCCGGAGAAGCCTTCGCGGTCGGTCGGTCGGTCGGTCGGTCGCTCCGGGCCCGGCAGGCGCACTCGGGTTGGCGGGAAGCCCGGGCCGCCCGCCCCCAGGTTCGCAGAAAGCGCCCGGATGTCACGGTGAAGCCTCCGCGTGGGGAAGGGCGGCGAGCCACCCACATGCGCCCTCCACAGCCGCGTCCTTCCCCGACCCGACAGACTCCCCTGGGCGCCGTGGTCTCAGAGGGCAGCCGGTGATGTGTCAGACGAGCGAAAGGAAAATCCCCTCCTGGGATTGGAACCTCTCCACCGTGTGATCTCGGGGTCGAGTGACATTGACCTTCCTGCCCTTGCGGAGAGAAACACTCGCTCAGCAGAAGGTCGAAGGAAGGAGCGTTGCCCTCCAAGTAGTCAGGGCGTCCTGGGGTGTGAGTGACAGCCGTCCTGTCTGTGCCGGGGAGAAGGTGGCATGACCGGGTGCTCCATTCAACGTAGAAGGAGGGATGGGGCAGCAGCCCCAGCAGCGGCCAGAGCTGCAGATCCCAGTGCCACGAGGCCTTGCCTGCTGTCCCTCCCTCCCCCACTCCCCCATCCCAAACGGTGACACAAGGCATCAACCTCACCCAGGCACAGCATTTGCACTCCCGGCCCCAGAACTTCCAGTCACCAGGGTGTGGGGCTTGGTGAGGGCAGCCGGGGGGCCGGGGCACACTCCCCGATTGGGAGGAAGAACAGCCGCGGGAAAGGTGGCCGGAGGATTGGGAGCCGGGACTCGAGGGTCTCAGAGGGGTGGGGACCGGGCTCTCGGGGAAGCAAGTGGAGATTTTCTCAGAAAAACAGACCCTGCCCTGCGTCTCTCCCAGGGTTTCTGCAAATAACCTCCATGGGACACAAGCCGTTCGGAGTCAAAAATAACTAATTGGGCGGAGGAGCGGATCCGCAGCGGCAGGCGCAGCCCGCGGGCGGGCCTTCGGGGGACGCAGGCTGCGTGGAGGTGCGTGGACCCCACAGCCACGCCGGCCGCATTGAGACGAAGGAGAGGCAGGCTGCAGATATGTGCCGGGAATGGGAAAGGCATGGAAAACGGAGAAGCAGGTCTGAGAAACAGCCGCTGAGGACGTTCGCAGAACAGTCAGCGCCGGAGAGAGGACAGTATGGAGGCCCTCGGGGAGGACGCCGCCCGGAACACAGCCCCAGAGGGAGGGAAGGAGGGAGGGGGGTGGGGGCGTGGCGGCGGCAGCGAGGATGGGCTGCAGCGAGCAGAGCACCGAGAGCATCTGTCTCAGGAGATTTCCGGAAAGGAAAGAGACAGATAAGCTGGAGACCGGGTGTGGCGAGATCATGGCTGGGAGGGGGTGCTCCGGACCTGGCGAGGCAGGGTCCTCATTGGTTAGGGTGTCGTCTCCAAACACTAAGTTGGTGGGTCCCCGGTCAGGGCACATACAGGAAGCAACCAATGGATGCATGAATCAGTGGAACAACAAATTGATGTCTCCCCCTCTCTCTCTCAGATCAATCAATCAGTCAATCAGTCAGTCAAGGGGAAGAATGGAAAGTGGTTCGGAGAAGGGGAGAGAGCACTGGAGACATCATTGCGATTCAGCTCAGGAGAGATGCCCGGTGCTCTGGGGTCCCAGGGCTGAGCGCTAGAGTCCTGCCCCCCACACACAACACCCCGAGAGAGCCCAGCCCTTCCCCTGGACTCCTGCCCATCCTCGGTCAGGTCCTCCTGCCCACGAGGTACGGATGGGCAGTTCCTGAGAAGGGAGGGGTCCTCACGCCAGGATCAGGGGCCCTTTGCCCGCACTGGCCAGCTGAAGGGAGTGGGGTCCTGGTGTTGTCCGTGAGAACGGCCCTGCTGGGCGCTGGGCAGTGCCCGGTCTGTGCAGCTGAACAGGCAGCCCAGCTCCTCCGGTGCGTTCTGCTCCCATGTTATGTCCCTGGGGCCTCCAGGCTTGACCAGTGTTTGTTTTTCCTCTTGTGCTTCCCCCCCTCCTGTCCCCCGCCTCCCGCCCCGGACAAGGCTGGCATCCATCATCCGCGGGAGGGTTTTATGGGGCACTGAAGGGAAGCTAATGATTCTGAAAAGCAGAGCCAGGTCCCGGGAAACTTTCCAGGCCTGCAGTGTTCTCGGCCACCCCAGGAGCCTGGCCATGTCGGCCGCGCTGGTCGATTGCCTGCTCCCTGGGGCTGGGCAGGGCCCGGGCAGAACTGTGTGCACACGCGTTTGCTTGGGCACACACGTGTGTGCGCACCGCCCCCCAGGGACCCTGGCCGGGCCTTCGGGCCCAGGATGCAGCCTGGCCTGCGTGTTGCCTTCTGAGTAGAACATTTGGACCTAGCGTGGGTGGCCTGAGGCACCTGCTCCCGCTCACCCCGGGGCCAATGGGTCAGGCCTGGATCTCGGCCGGTAAAACGCCCATGGTCATGCCTTCTGCCCTGGACTCTGTGTGGCTCTGCCAGTGACTCAGCCCCGCCGGCTCCCTCCTCCCGCCTGGCCCCGCGGCCTCCCAGCACCGCCTTTCCCAGTGTGATGCACGGGGAATCGTGAGCATCGGAGAGGAGCTGGCGGCCGTGCCAAGGTCATCTGGGCCCCGCCCCGCCGTGGGTCACAGGGCGCAGCCTCTGTCTGTCTGTCTGTCTAGCTACTGGCTGGGCTCATGCCCCTGCACACACTCTCAGGGGAGGGGGAAGTGCTGGGCGGGGGGGCGTCTGGCTCTGCGAACAGTTTGAATCACAGACGCTGTCAAGGTGCCGGCGGTTGTTCCGGGCGGCGGTGGGGAGGGTGCACCCACGATGCCCGGGGGGTCCCTGACAGCCTTGGGCTCCTGCCCTCGATTCCGTGGGTTGAGCCCCGGGTTTTCTGCCAACTGCAGGCTTGTCCCCCCCGCCCCCCTGTGTGGCTCTGGATGGACGGGTGGGCTGCCTGAGGACCAGGAGGATGACCCCCACCCCAGATCCGGCCAGGGCTCCAGACACACCTTGCCCAGGGCGGATCCCTCCCCCCAGGATGGCCCTGGGTGCCACCCCCAGTGGCCACCACTCTGACGTTGTCTGGCCCTGCTGTTCCCTCAAAGACACCGGTGAACAAATGGGGGTCCCTCCTGGGGTTGTGAATCCAGGGCTTCGGGGAGCCCCAGGCTCTCCCAGAGACGGAGGCCAGGTGGCATCACTGAGGCTCGATCCAGGGTCCATCCCTGTCCTCTGAGGGCTGAGGCTGGGCCGTGCTCCTGGGGCGGGGTGCTCCTGGGTTCCCCCTTTCCTTCCCTGGCTTCCCTCATCGAAAGGCCTCTCAGGACTTCCTTCTTCTTTCTCCCCCTCCCTGAGCCAGGCCCCGGCTGCCCGGGCAAAGCAGTAAAACATCGCTCTGTCTAGCCCACCCCCCCTGCAGCAGGGACGATGAAATGTGTGTCTGCCTCGCGCCCAGGCAGCCGGAATTGGCATAATGAGATTGTCGGAGGGTTCAGCGGCCGGGCAGGCGAGGCGGGCTCGGGGGACGGGCAGACACACAGGCCGCTCCGCCTTCTTCCACGAGGGGGCTGCAGTCTGCCCGGGGAAGAGAGCAAGGGGACCCCGCCATGCCCACCGGGGCCAGGCAAGAGGCTGTGTGTCCTTGGGGTGTGCGTGCCCCGGTGCTCGGCTGTGTTCCCCTGAGAACGGTGGTGTGGGGGCAGTAGCTCGGGCGGGGGTGGGGGGGGGGAAGCTGGGCCACACACAGGCCTGGGCGCCTGCCTCCGGCCCCGGCTCAGACCCTGCCTGCCAGTTGAATGCTGGTCGGAACTGGGCTGAGCATCTACAGGCAGGATGGGAAAACTTTGTGGGAGGTACAAGGAAAGATCAAAGCGATTAGGGAATTGGCTCACGGCCATAACTGGGAGGTGGTGAAAGAATTGGCTGACTCAAAGGCTATGTTTTCTTTCTTTAAAAAAAAAAAAAAAAAAAAAAAAAAAAAAAATATATATATATATATATATATATATATATTATTGCTTTTTTGCAGAGAGAAAGGGATAGTTGGAGAGATGGAGAGTTAGAAACATTGATGAGAGAGAAACATCGATCAGTGGCCTCCTGCACACCCCCTACCGGGGATGTGCCCGCAACTAAGGTGCGTGCCCTTGACCGGAATCGAACCTGGGACCCTTGAGTCTGCAGGCCAATGCTCTATCTACTGAGCCAAACCGGTTTCGGCTATGATTTCTTTTTTATGTTTTTGGTTTTTTAAAATTGATTTGAGAGAGAGAGAGAGAAACATCCATGAGAGAGAAACATCCGTTGGCTGCCTCCTGCTGGCCTCTTATTGGGGATCAAGCCCGCAACCCAGCATATGCCCTGACCAGGAATCAAACCAGCGACCTCCTGGTGCCCGGAATGACACCTCACCAACTGAGCCACCCTGGAAGGCTCAGCTGTGGGGTCACGGTCATGTGGGGGCTCACGGGCGAACGGGGACCAGAACACCTGCCTCAGGTGTAGGCCCCGCCCCCCCTCCGTGTTCTTGCACCCATCGGTCTTGGCAGAAGGCGGCTCACCTGCCCTTTCTCTCTCCTGCAGGGGTCCTTGCTGAGCTCTGTCATGGTGATCTAAGGAACCTCGTCACCTAGAAGTCCCAGCACGCAGTTCCCCTCGCCGGGAAGGCGTGGACTCCAAGATGATCATAAAGGAGTACCGCATCCCTCTGCCGATGACCGTGGAGGAGTACCGCATCGCCCAGCTCTACATGATCCAGGTGGGTCCGGGGTTGGGGCTGGCCAGGCCGGGCACACACACAGCACCCCCTCCCCCCCCCCCCCGCACCCGGGCACTGGGGGGCCTTCGCGCACTGTGTCTGCCTGCCAGGCTCCCGTTTTCCCAGGTCCTGCTCTGTGGCAGTCCCCAGCCCAGCATCCCTGCCCGCCTCTCGGTGCCCCAGCCCTTGGCCCAGCCCCACAGCTTCCCTCCCAGCTGAGGGTCTGATTATAAGCCGGCTGTGGGCCCAGCTCTGGGCTCCTCTGGGCGTGTGGATGCCTCGGTCCAGCCTCTGGCCGTGCTGGTCCCCCCCTCCCTCCCCCAGTCACAGAATCATCATACAGGGAGTCAGGGGAGCCCGGGCCGGCAGGGCCGCCACCTCTGCCCCTGGCTTTGCTTGGTGGCTCCCACCCTTCAGCCCAGGTCTGGGGAGTTCGTTAGGAGCTCCCGGCCCCCCCACCAGGCCCCCAGAAGGAGCTCGATGGGGCTGCCGGAGTGTGAGCGGGAAGAGGACAGAGGCGAACTCGGCCTCTCTGGGGGGCCGTCAGCTCCAAACTGCTTCCGACGCGCCACTCAGTTCCCTCTTGAGCCACTTACCCTGCAATTATTCCTCGAGAGCAGGGAGAGGGAAGAAGCTCGTCAGCCCCCCAGTCCCGAGTCCCCTGGAATTCGCTCAGCCTGTGTGAGGGAGGCCCCGGCTGGTCTGCCACAGCCACTGTGTCCTGCGGCTCCGTAATCCCCACCCACACCCGGGGAGCCCCCCCCCCCAGCCGCCCCCACCCCGGGCACCGCGCGGCCGCTGCGTGCAGACGCCGGGGGACGGGCCTTCAGCTTCTAGGCCATCCTCTTCCACACATTTCACCGCCTCTGCCTCCGGGCCCCTCACAACACCTGCCCTCTGCACCCCTCTTTGGGGATTTTAAAAAAGTCGTCTATTCATATACTGTGTATATACGTAATTGATTTCAGAGTGGAATGGAGAGGAGGGAGGAAGAGAGAAAAACATCAACAATGAAAGAAAGTCATTGATCAGCTGCCTCCTGCCGCCCCCACCCCCGGATCGAGCTCACAAACCGGGCATGTGCCCTGACTGGGAATCAAACTGTGACCTCCCGGTTCATAGGTCGGTGCCCAACCACTGAGCCACACCGGCCTGACAGAAACATCTATTCTCCTGCCTCCCCTGTGATGTCTCCCATGGCTGGGGGACAGAGATGTACTGGGGATTGAGACCACAACCGGGGCACGTGCCTTGACCGGGAATGGAACCGTGACCTCAGCCACTGAGCCGCGCCGGCCAGGCACATGTTTGAGACCGGTTTGGCTCAATGGATAGAGCGTCGGCTTGGGGTCTGAAGGGTCCCAGGTTCAATTCCGGTCAAGGGCATGTACTACCTTGGTTGCGGGCACATCCCCAGTAGGGGGTGTGCAAGAGGCAGCTGATCGATGACTCTCTCTCATCGATGTTTCTAACTCTCTATCTCTCTCCCTTCCTCTCTGTACAAAATCAATAAAATAAATAAATAAATAAATAAATAAATAAATAAATAAATAAAACAAAGGAAAGCCCTAACCGGTTTGGCTCAGTGGATAGAGCGTCGGCCTTCGGACTCAAGGGTCCTGGGTTCATTCCAGTCAAGGGCGTGCACCTCGGTTGCGGGCACACACCCAGTGGGGAGTGTGCAGGAGGCAGCTGATCGATGTTTCTCTCTCATCGATGTTCCGAACTCTCTATCCTTCTCCCTTCTTCTCTGTAAAAAATCAATAAAGTATATTAAAAAAATAAAATATAAATAAAACAAAGGAAGGTTGGCCTGTCTGGGAGCGAGCCTGCTCTCCTGGAAGAGGCCGGGCAAATGCTTAGCTCCCAGCGAGCCCTGGGCTTCGCTTAGCCAGGACCCTGGACAGCGCTGGGAGCCTCTGCCTGGGGGGCTTCCTGCTCTTTGCTGCTTCCCACCTCCTTCTTCAGCCAACCCCCTCCCCCCCCAGCCTCCTGTTTAACACTGAAGGATCCTGGCCTCCTGGGGCCTGTGCTTTGCCCGCACCGCACGGGGCCCACATGGCTCAGCCCCTCCCGTGCAGCCTCGGCCCCGGGGAGGGGGAGGGAGGGCAGGCCTCTCCACCCAGCCCGCGCTGGCAAAGCAGGCCGGGGTCACAGGTGCGTGCATGTGAGCATGCGCACACCTGCTGTTCAGGAAACTGACCGAAGGTAGCCTTGGCAGTGCCGTCACATCACCATGGAAACAGATGCTGGGCTTAAAGTCACCAGCATCTCAGTCGCGAGGAGGTTTTCTGCATAAGCAGAAACCTGAGCTTTTGAACACCGGCAAGGGTGTTGGTGGCCAAGAGACGCTCTGAAGTGACCCAGGCCCTTCCCCACTCCCCACTCCCCACAGTTGATCTTGCTGAAGTCTGGGAGTGAGCAGGAGACAGGACAGGATTGGTTTGGGTGCACGCGTGTGTGTGTGTGTGTGTGTGTGTGTGTGTGTGTGTGTGTGTTTCATCATATACAGCTTCGTTGAGATGTAACTCACGCACCAACCAATTCACGTGTTTGCCGAGTACAGTTTAGTGGTTATCGTTATGTTATGAAACCACAATCAATTGAGAGCCTTTTCATCTCCTCAAACAGAAGTCATTTTTCCGTTCCCAGCTACCCATCCCTGGGCAACCAATAATCTGCTTCCCGACTGTGGATTTGCCTATTCCGGATATTTCGTAGAAATAGGATCACATAGCAGGTGGCCTCTTGTGTCCGGCTTCTCTCACTCAGCATCGTGTGTTCAGGGCTCATCCATGTTGTCGCAGGTGCCAGCATTTCATTTTTATGGATGAATCACAGTCCATTGTGTGGACATAATCTGTTTATCCTTTGTTGTTGTTGTTAATCCTCACTTGAGGATATTTTTTCCCACTGATTTTTAGAAAGAGTGAGTGGAAGGAAGGGAGAGAGGGGAAGAGAGAGAAACATCGATGGGAGAGAGACACATCGATCGGTTGCCTCCAGTACATTCCCTGACCCGGACCAGGGATCAAACCTGCAACCCAGGTACGTGCCCGTGACTGGGAATGAAGCCATGACTCTTCGGTGCACCACACTGACCAGAGCCGTTGACCCGTTTTTCAGTTCGTGGAGATCTGCGTTGGTTCCGCCCCCTGGCTGTTGTGACTAGCATTGCTCTGCACACGTTCGTGTGCTGACCAATGTTTTCATGTCCTCAGACGGATACCTACGAGTGGAACTGCTGAGCCATGTGGGAACTGCGTGTCCACCTTTAAAAAAAAAAATGTTTTATTGATCTTTTACAGAAAGGAAGAGAGAGGGATAGAGAGTTAGAAACATCAATGAGAGAGAAGCATCAATCAGCTGCCTCCTGCACACCCCCTACTGGGGATGTGTCTGCAACCAAGGTACATGCCCTTGACGGGAATCGAACCTGGAACCTTTCAGTCTGCAGGCTGACGCTCTATCCACTGAGCCAAATCGGCCAGGGCTGTATCCAACTTTTCGAGGAGCCACCACCCTGTTTTCCATGACAACTATACCGTTTCGCCTTTCCAACGGCAGTGCGTGATGGTCCTAGTGTCTCCACATCCCCACCAGCACTTGCTAATCGTTTGACTTCTTAGCCATCCAAATGGGCATGAAGGGGCATCTCATTGTCGATTTGATTGGCTTTCCCTGATGACTCGGGCAGCTGCAGCATCTTCTCGGGGGCTTGTTGGCCATTTTCGTATCTTTTTTTTTTTTTTTTTTTAGAAATGACAATTCAAGCCATTTGTGTGTTTTTGAATTGGGTTATTGCCTTCTTTGTTGTTGAGTCCTAAGAGTTTTTGATGTCTTTTGGATATGCATCCCTTATCAGGCATATTATTTACAAAAATGTCCTCCCATTCGGTGGGTTGCCTTCCTCTGTTTTCTTAGTGTCCTGCGTGCAATGCACACAAAGTTGTACATGTTTTATGGAACCCATTTTATCTATCTTCCCCCCTCGTGGCTTGTGCTTAAGAAACTATTGTCAAATCCAGGATGAGGAAGACTTGCTTCCACTCTCACTTCTTCTAAGACTTCTATTAATTTTAGGTCTTCGATCCGTTTGAGTTCGTCTTTATGTGTGGTGTGAGGGAGGGGTCCAGCTTCATTCTTTTTTTTTTTTATCAATTTTTTTATTGATTACGGTGTTAGATACGTGTCTTTGTTTTCCCCCAACTCCCCCATCCCCTCCCCTCATGCCCTCACCCTTCTGTTGTCTGTGTCCATTGGTTAGGCTTATATGTTTGCATACAAGTCCTTTGGTTGATCTCTCCCCTTTACCCCCACCCTCCCCTACCTTCCCTCTGAGGTTTAATGGTCTGATCCATGTTTCTCTTTCTCTGGGTTTATTTGAGTTCCATAAGTTGTTCATTATATTCCATAAATGAGTGAGATCATGTGATATTTACCTTTCTCTGCCTGGCTTACTTCACTTAGCACAGTGCTCTCCAGTTCCATCCATGCTGTTGCAAATGGTAAGAACTCCTTTTTTTTTTTTTTTTTAACCACAGCATAGTATTCCAGTGTGTAGATATACCACAGTTTTTTAATCCAGTCATCTGCTGATGGGCACTTAGGCTGTTTCCAAATCTTAGCTATTGCAAATTGTGCTGCTATGCACATAGGGGTGCATATATCCTTTCTAGTTGGTGTTTGTAGTTTCTTGGGATATATTCCTAGAAGTGGGATCACTGGGTCACATGGGAGTTCCAGCTTCATTCTTTTCCCTGTGGAGAGCCAGTTGTCCGAGCACCATCAGAAAAGACCATTCTTCCTTAAGTTATCCTGAGAAGTGATTGGGAGTTGCTGGAAGGCTGAGTGATCTGGTTCAATTGTTGTGTGTGGAACAAATGATTTGAGGTCTAGCATCCAAAACAGCTTGAGCTAAACAAAGGATAATCTATGTTTCCAGGAAGCTGAGGCCAAGGTGTGATGATTATTTACAGGCCTGTTCATACCCTTCTTACAAGAAATTTTCACAGGCAGATATTACTGGCCAAAAGCATGTGAAGAAATTTGTGGTCTTCTTTTATCTCTTCTATATCTAGAATTCATTTCTAGACTCAATAGAAACTAGTTGAGCTTTCCATTAGGGAGATATTTGAAGGCTATCACAAAGGGGGGGAAAACACTCAAAAATTTGGTAAAACTAAACAAATAAAACAAAATGTATCATAAAATAAAAAAAATAAAATAAATAAATAAAATAAAAGTTTAAAAAAAAAAAGAAAAGACCATTCTTTTCTCCCGTTGAGTCGCCTTGGCATCCTGGAGATACGCATAGGAGGACTCAGTACGCATATCGATAGTTCGCAGATATAGGTACATGGGTTTCCTCCTAGACTCCTGCCTCACTTACACAGATCCGCCTCTCCTAGGCTCCCCCTCCCGCTCAGCTCTCCGGGGCTGGGTCCCCTGAGCCCCTTCCCTTCTGCCGAGCGCGGCGGCCACCGCCCACGGACCATGCCTTTGTCCCCACAGAAGAAGAGCCGCACCGAGACGCATGGCGAAGGCAGCGGCGTGGAGATCCTGGAGAACCGGCCGTACACGGACGGCCCCGGCGGCTCCGGGCAGTACACGCACAAGGTGTACCACGTGGGCAGGCACATCCCCAGCTGGTTCCGCTCCATCCTGCCCAAGGCGGCCCTGCGGGTGGTGGAGGAGTCCTGGAACGCCTACCCCTACACGCGGACCAGGTGAGCGGGGTGTGTGTGTGTGTGCGTGTGTGCCCTGTGGCATCGATCCCGGGAGGAGGCGGCCCTCCACCTGAGGCTCAGCCCCTGCACCCCAGGCTTCCCGGGAGCTGAGCCTCTGTTCCAGGTAGGGGAGCCCTGACAGTCCCCTGGGCTTCTCTGCAGGAAACAGGGGTGTCAGGAGAGGGGTGTCTGGGAGGGAGGCCTGGAAGGCATGAGTCCAGCAAGGTCCGGTGGAGACCCCCTTGCCATCTGGGAGCCCAGGGGATACACACGAAACCTTGACGTTCACCTGAGAATCGGGGACAGTCAGCAGCTGGGAAGGAGCACGACCCGAGGGTAGACCAGATGGCCCAGACTCCCTCCCGCCCTGAGGCCTCCAGCTACATGCCATGTGGACCTGGGGTTTCCTTTAGATCTCCCCCCCCCCCCCCGGGTAGGAGGTTCATCACTCTGGCCCCCACCTCGCCCGGTGCAGCTGAGCACCACTGGGTTAGACCAGACTGGTGCGCCCAGCTGGCTGCCACCTGCTGTGCAGACAGGGTCCCCACATGTCTCCCGGGCTCCCTTTCCCATCCTGGCTGAGGGCCTGGAGCCTGCCCGAGGAGACCATTCCTCCTCCCAATAGCACTCTCCTCCTCTGCACTCAATTCCAGCCAAGAGAGAACTTATGGAACTCAGTGGTTGAGTGTCGACCCATGAACTAGGAGGTCAGGGTTCGGTTCCCAGTCAAGGGCACATACCCAGGTTACAGGCTGGGTCCCCAGCTGATCAATGATTCTCTCTCATCATTTTTGTTTCTCTCTCTCTCCCTCTCCTTTCCTCTCTGAAATCAATAAAAACATTTTTAAAAAGAGAGAGCAGGCAGCGGGGGGGGGGGGGGGGGGGGCTGTTCCCTTGTTACCAGACCTGACTCCTCGTGGGACGGCGGGCAGGGGTGGCTTGTGGCTCTGAGTGCTTGTCCCTTTCTGCCCACTCAGCAGGAGGCTGCGGGAGTCGTACCTGCGTCTGTACTGTGCCTTACACACAGGGACCTGGACACGCGGCTTCCAGCAGCTTCCTGCCACATCTCCCTCCGCCCCAAACCCAGCCCTGCCCTCGCCTGGCCTGAGCCATGCTTGGGACAAGGGGGAGGTCCAGGACGTGGACAAGACAGATGAGTCTCGTCCACACTCCAGCCTCCTTCCTCCTGGGTATCCTGCCCCGTGGGTCCGGCAGGCCCTGGCCCGGCCGCCCCACGCCCGCACCCTCCACCCCCCGGTCCTGATGGATGCTTTTCTCCCCCCACAGGTTCACGTGCCCTTTCGTGGAGAAGTTCTCCATCGACATTGAGACCTATTATAAAAGCGATGCCGGAGAAAACCCCAACGTCTTCAGCCTGTCCCCCGTGGAGAGGAGCCAGCTGGTGATCGGTAACGTCCACCACGAGGCTCCTGTGTTGGGGTTCCCTATCCGTGGCCCTCCCGTCCCCCCATCTCCCGGCCGGGCAGGCTCCCGACCCGCTCCTGTCCTGGGTCTTGAGCAAGCATGGGAGGGGGCGCCAGGAGAGACAGGGAAGGCCTCCTTGGCCCCGTTTTTCTGACACGTACACCGAGGCTTCGTGCCTTTTACACGCTGAGCCCCGTCCCTCCTTCCCTTCGAGGGGTCCCCACCCGTGTGTGCTCAGTGGGCGGGGCAGGGCTGTGTCCCCCTTCATGGCAGGCGGCCTCTCCCGCTCTCCCCTCCAGGTGACTTGGGGCCACGCAGCCAAGGGCCCCGTTGGTTCAATCTACCTTTCCAAGAGGGGCCAGGAATCAGAATGGTCATGGGACACCTCCCAGTTGCTCAGCGTTGGCACCTAATGAAAAACCTCTGTAAACACACTCACGCTGGCCACACGCACGTCTGTGGCTTACACCGGAAGGCGATTGCCTCCGAGTCCTGGGGGCCAGAGCCCGAGGCGGAGGTGTCCCCGGGGTTGGCTCCTCCGGGGATCAGCGAGGAAGGCTCTGCGCCAGCCAGGCCTCCCTCCTGCCGGGGACCACGGTGTTCCTGGCTCGTAAACACCTCGCCCCAATCTCCGCTGCCATCTCTGCAGGGTGTTCTCCCCGCGGCGGGCGCGTCAGGTCCCAGTGTCCCCTTTTTTATAAGGACACTGGTCATGTTGGATCAGGGCCACCCTAATGACCTCATCTTCATTTGATTACATTTCTGGAGGCCCTGTGTCCAAATAAGGCCATGTTCTGAGCTCCTGGGGGTCAGGATGCAAACATATGAACTTGGGGGTCGGGGGGAGCATGTTCTACCCAGAAATACCCATAACAGGAGGGAAGACGCCCCAGCAGGACACAGGCACTCTGGCAGCCCCGAGGTTTCCTCTGCACCTCCTACCCCCTCCCTCCCCCCTCGCATGGCTCCTGCCCCCACCCTCTCCTGTGGCCTTTCTGCCTCAACCAGCCAGGCATTCGGTCTGATCCAGGCAGGAGTTGTTTTGTGTGTGTGTGTGTGTGTGTGTGTGTGTGTGTGTGTGATATTTATAAGTATATTTTTATTTCAGAGAGGAAGGGAGAGGGGGAGAGAGAAACATCAGTGATGAGAGAGAATCACTGATGGGCTGCCTCCCGCACGCCCCCTAAAGGGAATGGAGCCCGCCACCCAGGCATGAGCCCTGACCGGGAATCGAACTGTGACCTCCTGGTTCATACAGAGGTTGACATTCAACCACTGAGCCACGCCGGCCGGGCCGGACTTTCATTCCCTTCCCCCGGTTGGTGGAGCTCACGTCTGCATCTGCACCCACAGCCCAGACCCGGTGCCAGCGTGCCCGGGAGATGAGACAGCCCGGGCCTCGCCGGGGCAGAGCCCCCCACGTGCCGTCCTCCCCACACTCTCTGAGCCACACGGCCTGTCCCGGGCCCCCTCGCGGCACCCGAGTCCCAGCCCTGCTGACCCAGGAGCCTGAGGAACCGCTCGGCGGGCGGTTTAGATTTGGGGGAGGAGGTGGGAGACAGGCGGTGGCATGGCTCATGTCCCTCCCAGAGCACGGCCTTCCTCTCGTCACCCTCCAGCCCTGTGGCATCTGCCACCCCCGTCAGGACTGCCCTGGGCCCTTGAACTGGCTCTTCCTGTCTCCTCCCTCCGGTCGGGAGGGTTTCTCCGGGCCAGGCTGCCTCCAGACTGTCTATAGTGCCACCTGTCCCTCCGGGCACCGTCCACGCACGTAGCCTGGCCAGTAATGCTTCAGATCCAACCGAGCCCTCGCCACCTCTCCCCACGGGGCTCCCGACCCCCTCACTCGGTCAAGTCAGTGCTGCGGGGATAGTCTCCGCCTCCGGGGCTCCTGTGGCCGGAATGCCCCTTTCTGGGAGGCTTTACCTGGCCTCCTCTCTCCACCCCACACCCCCGTGCATCTTGGGTAGTTGGTAGAAGGCACACGAAACGTGGGGGGGTCGCTGAGATGATTCGAAAAGGCCACAAGGGAAGCCGTGGGCCTTGCCGTCAGGAGAGCCGGAGGCCGGAGTGGCCCCCCCGAAGCCCAGCACCCCGCAGGGCAGGGACCCCCGGAGGTGACGGGACGGGAGAGGGTGGAGGGGTCCGCTGACTCTCAGGGTCTCCCCCAGACTTCATCGACATCGTCAAGGATCCCGTGCCCTCCAACGATTACAAGACGGAAGAGGACCCCAGGCTGTTCCACTCGGTCAAGACGCAGCGGGGGCCGCTGTCGGACAACTGGATCCAGGAGTACAAGCAGCAGGTGTTCCCCATCATGTGCGCCTACAAGCTGTGCAAGGTGGAGTTCCGCTACTGGGGCATGCAGTCCAAGATCGAGAGGTTTATCCACGACACGGGTGAGCGCTGGGCACGGCTGCCTCCTCCCCCCCGCCCCCCCCCCCCCCCCCCCGTCATCTCTTCTCCCCCTCCTCCCTCCTCCCCGCCCTCCTCCCGCCTGTGTCCCTCCTGAGCCTGGACTCTCCCGGGAAGTGCTCTTCCAGCGTTCCCCACCTCCTCCAGGGCAGAAATCCCCACCAAATTCAGAATGGCTTCCGAACAGGTGCATTACTGTGGGAGGCCCTCTGTGAGCCAAACCCCACATTCCTGGGGGGAACTGAGGCACGGGACAGTGATTTCCTGTGACCTGCAACATGGGGCACCCCTCAGCCCTGAGCCTGGGCCATGGGGCCCTGAGGCCCAACTGATGCCGCCTTCGTCTTCGTCTCTGCCCCCTCCCGCCTCCCTCTCTGCCCCCCTCCGCCTCCCTCTCTGCCCCCTCCCGCCTCCCTCTCTGCCCCCCTCCGCCTCCCTCTCTGCCCCCTCTCGCCTCCCTCTCTGCCCCCCTTCGCCTCGTCTCTGCCCCCTCCCGCCTCCGCCCCCGCCCTCCCCCCAGCGCTGCGGAAGGTGATGGTGCGGGCGCACCGGCAGGCCTGGTGCTGGCAGGACGAGTGGTACGGGCTGAGCATGGAGGACATCCGGGAGCTGGAGAAGGAGGCGCAGCTCATGCTGTCCCGGAAGATGGCCCAGTTCAAGGAGCACGAGGAGGAGCCCGAGCAGCTGTCCAAGGGCGAGGCCGGCCCCGACCGCCCCCCCGGGGAGCCCCCCCAGCCCGGCAGCAGCTCGCCGCCCCTGGCCGGCCGTGGCCTGAAGAAGCAGTGGTCCACGTCCTCCAAGTCCTCGCGGTCGTCCAAGCGGGGAGGTGAGCCGCCGGCCCCGTGGGGCCCTGCCCCTGCTGGACCCCCCCGCCCCCCCCGCCCGTCCGCTGGGCGGTCGGTCAGTCGGTCGGGGGTTTTGCCTTCCAGCCAGCCCTTCCCGCCACAGCATCTCCGAGTGGAGGATGCAGAGTATCGCCCGGGACTCAGACGAGAGCTCCGAGGATGAGTTCTTCGATGCGCAAGGTAGGCGGGCTCCCGGACGGCTCCGGGGGCCTCCCCACGAGAGAGCTGGGGGTTCGGGTGTGGGGGTCGAAGTGGCAGTTGCCTGTGCACAGTCCTGGGTGAGCAGCTGGGACAGAGGCTGAGAGGCTGAGGGAAGGCACCCCGGTCTCAGGCTCACCCCAGCCAGAGGGCAGGATGTACGGGGGCCTGGCAGGTGGGGATCCGTGCTCTCAGACCCCCCAGCCATGGACCTAGGACCAGAAGGAGGTGTTTTTCCTGGCGTGCATTTGTTTCCATAAGAAGTTTCATGAAAGCATACCTTCCTATAATATTCTGATTTTTTTTTTGCAATGATTTTTTTTCCCATCTGATGTAAAAACTTTAGAAAATGCAGACACGCAGAAAATGCAGAAAAAGCCCATTTCCCCAGGGATCCTAAAATAAGCACAGCGAGCACGCAGCCTCCGGGCCAGGAAAAGCCGACACAAAGCCCTTGCGAGCTGCAGCCCCGCCCCTCCTCCCGAGGACAGAGGAGGGGCCTGGGACAGGTGTGGGAGGCAGGTTTCCAGTTTGCAGGTGATAAGCAGGACACAGGCTCAGAGAGGGCCAGGGGCTTGCCTCCAGACACACAGCAGGGCAGAGGCAGGACCAGAAGCTTGTCCGCAGGCGGGCAGAGGAGCCACCTAATTATGACATTTTTTTTTTTTTCAGAGAGGCAGGGAGAGGGAGAGAGAGAGATAGAAACATCAATGATGAAAGAGAATCATTGACTGGCTGCCGCCACCTGCAGCCCCTCCCTCCAACTGGGGATCGAGCCCGCAACCTGGGCATGTGCCCTGACCGGGAATCGAACCAGTGACCTCTTGGTTCATAGGTCAACACTCAACCGCTGAACTACATCCGGCTGGGCTATGGCATCTTTTTAAAAAAATACATTTTTTATTGATTTCAGAGAGAAAGGGAAGGGGAAGAAAGAGAGAGAGAGAGAGAGAGAAACACCAATGATGAGAGAGAACAGTGATTGCTGCCTCCTGCACGCCCCCTACTGGGGATCAAGCCCGCAGCCCCAGCCCGTGCCCTGACTGGAATCCAGCCGTGACCTCCTGGTTCATAGGGTGACGCTCAACCACTGAGCCCCAGTGGCCGGACTGATTGCGGCATCTTAGTTAACTGGCCTCGAGGGAAAGAACTTGGGGGAGAGGGGGTGTCCCGGCAAAAGGCAGGTGCCCGGTTGGGCCTCGCGGGGGTGGGGGGCTGAGAAGAGACGCCTCCGCACTGGGGTCCCCCGAGCGGGGGGCAGGGTGTTTGGGAGTCTCATCCCTGAGCCTGGCCTGGCTGTGCCCCGGCGCGAGGGAAGCACCCAACTCCGGTAGAAACGTTAGAAAAAGCCCGAAAAGAGAGGAGGCGGGCCCGCGGGAGAAGCCAGAGTGGCAGTGCGCTGGGGAGGACCGCCCCACGTGAGCCATCCCGTGGCCCGGTGAGGGTCACAGCGGGAGTCCCAGACAGAACCGCTCACAGCTGCGCTCCTCTCGACGCCGTCCTGTGTGGAGGTCGGGGCGGTCGGGAACGCCAGCGGGCGGGCGGAGAAACAGCGGGCGGCCCTTCCATCCGGCGCACAGGGCCCAGGCAGAAAGCGCGTGGACTCTGAGAGCGGGATGCCGAGGGAAAGACCAGCCTAGGAAGGCCCCATACTCCATGGCCCGCTCTGAGGGATCGGTCCAGACAGAAAGCGGGGTGGTGGCGGCTGGGGGCTGGAGGAGGGAGGAAGCAGGGATGACTATTAATGGGGACAGGGTTTCCTTTCGGGTGATGAAACTGTTCTGGTGCCCGGCCGGTGTGGCTCAGTGGTTGAGTGTCAACTATGAACCAGGAGGTTGCCGGTTTGGTTCCCGGTCAGAGCACATGCCCTCATTGCAGGCTGGATCCCCCGTGTGGAGCGTGCAGGAGGCAGCAGCCCAGTGTTTCTATCTCTTTATCCCTCTCCCCCTCTCTAAAATCAATAAAAACGGATTCATGATTAAGTAGAAGGTCTCACCTTAAAAAGAAAAAAAGACGAGAACATGTTCTGGAACTAGATCGAAGTGGTGGTTGCACAGCCCTGTGAATGTACCAAGTGCTGCTTTTAAAACGGCTTAAATTGTGACTTTTGATATGTGAATGTTACAATTTTTGTTTTTAAATTTTTATTGATGAAAGTATTACATGTGTCTCCTTTCCCTCCCATTGACCTCTCCTAGTCCGCTCCCGCCTACCACAACTTTTTTAAAAAGGTCAGGCAGCCCTAGCCGGCTTGTGAATAGAATGTTGGCCTGCAGACCGAAGGGTCCTGGGTTCGATTCCAGTCAAGGGCAGGTGCCTGGGTTGCAGGCTCAATCCCGAGTAGGGGGCGTGCAGGAGGCAACTGATCAATGATTCTCATCATGGATGTTTCTCTCTCTCCTCCCTTCCTCTCTGAAATCAATAAAAATATGTTACAAATAAAATAAAAGGTCAGGCAGCAGCCCCATGATGGGCGTGCGGCCGTGTGTCTGTCTGTGAAGGAAGAAGGAGAGCAGAGCCCAGCACGGAGCAGCACATGGGCCAGAGAAATATGGGAGACCCCAGAGCTACCACTCCCAGGCCCCCCACCTGCGGGGACAGGCCTCCCAGCACCCCGCCCCCCAGTCCCTGTCCCCCACAGTGTGCCGAAGCCCCTCTCTCCTCCCCAGAGGACCTGTCCGACTCGGAGGAAACCTTCCCCAAGGACATCAGCAAGTGGAACTCCAATGACCTCATGGACAAGATCGAGAGCCCCGAGCTGGAGGACACGCAGGGTAGCTGGCTGGTGCTGCAGGGCCAAGGGTGGATGGGGGCCTTCTCTCTGACCCAGCTCTAGGGCCTGGGGGCAAGGCAGGATGAGGGAAACTCTGGGCCCCCCCTGATACCCTCGCAGCCTCTGTCTGGTGAGGCCCCCCTGCTCAGTGGAGCCCCCCCTGTTTGTGTTGCAGACGGGCTATACCGGCAGGCCACCCCGGAGTTCAGGGTGGCCTCCAGCGTGGAGCAGCTGAACACCATTGAGGTGGGTGCCCAGGGGGCAGAGGGTAGGGGCTGTGCTGCCGGGGGTCCCCAGAGCAGCCAGGGGGAAGTGGAGGCAGGACCTGGCACCCACAGCTTCACTCACGCCCCCTCCTGGCCCCGCCCCCGTTGATGTCCCCAAGGACTGGCAGGGATGGTAGGCGGCCTCTGACCCAGCGCCTCCCCGGGAGAGTAAAATGAGACACTTGTAAATTCCAGACCAAACGTAAGACCACCCTGAGCTCAGCCTTCCTGCACTTCCTGAAGAAAAGATGGAAGGGGAGGAAGCGAAAGCCACCTAGGCAGAAGTGATGTGGCCGGCAGCCGCTGCCCTGCTGGGGGGGCCGAGGGGAGGGGGGCTCTTAGCGCCCAATAAAGCTGTGTCTGCAGAGCGCCTGTGTCTGCTTTGGGGGTTCTTGGCACCGAGCTCAGGCCCCTCCGGCCCCGCCCGTGGGTGGTCAGAGCTGTTTGCACTGGGGGCAGGAGCCCGGCCCGGCGGGACCATCACTCCCTGCGGCCACCGCCCCGCTCTGGCCTCAGGCTGCCCAAGGTGCAGACGGGCCCTGGGGACAGGGACCCCCGGGAGTTCGGATGGGTTTGTGGGAGGAAGGAGCGTCCATGCTACCCTCCCCTGCTCTTGGGGTTTTCTGCTCTGAGGTTTTAGGTCCGATGGGCTTTTCCAGAGAAGTGACTGATATCTGGGGTGTTGGGGTATTGATTTTCATTTGCTGGTTCACGGCGAAAAGCAGACAGAGTCCCATCCCCAGCCACATGGCACACAGCTCTGACCCCCGGGAGGGGCAGGGGGGGCCGTGCTCGAGATCGGCCGAGGCTGTGCCTGGTGGCCCGGCGCGCTGCCGGGCACCACCACTCGAAGCCAGATCCCCTTTGCCGGCAAGAGCCCCCAAACCGGAGCCGCCTCGCCTGGCCTTGCGGGAGGAGGTGGCTTTCCAGGGCCCGTCGCCCCCATACTGTGGGCTCTGTTCCCACAGGGATCACGGCCCCAGCAGTGTGTGCCCCTCGGAACGCAGGCTCACGTGGGAGAAACTGGGTCTGAGACTGACCCCCGGGGGTCCCCAAACAGTCCCAAGAGGACACACGGGCAGGATTCCTCAGCCCCCTCCTCCCCCCTCATCACCCCCCTCTACCCCTCCCCCCCGCCGCCCAACCCTGCCCAACCCCGTGGCCCCGTCCTGACCTGTGGTCTGAGCAGTTGGTAGTCTCACCATGAATTCGTTCCTGCCCCACCGGCGGGCAGCAGCAGGCAGTCCTTGTATGGGGGACAGGTGTCGCCCCCAAACTGTGTCCAGGCCCAGTGGCCCACAACTGGCCAATGACCAGTCCCCTCTCGGGGGTGAGGCAGCCCAGCCGCCCTTCCTCTCGTACCCGGAGCCTGTGCTGGCCTGTGGCACCCCCTCGCCCTTCCCGGCAGCCTCCCTGGCCCCAGGGCCAGGGCCCAACCCTCCTCCAGGCTCCGTGCTGACAGGTGGGTCCTGCCGCCGCCCCGCCTCCTGCCATCAGAGGCCCAGCTCACGCCCCCCTCATGTGACTCGACTCCTGTTCTGGGCCCTGGCTCCTTGGGGACAGGCTTCTCTCCTCGCTCAACTCCCTCCCCCACCCCCGTGCCTCCCGACATAATAGGACACACAGTGCTCACCAGTGGCTCCTCCTCGCCCCCCCCCCCATCCCCGTCACACTGGGAGCTGGGCCCGGAGAGGCCTGGGGGTGGCGTCCCGGCCTGGGACCGCGGCAGCTCTGGTTCTGGTCCAGGCGTCTCTGCTCCTGGGCCCTTGGTCTCGTGGAAAGTCAAGAAATGGCAGGGCTTGGGGGCTGTGGGGCCAGGGGAGGAGCCCCATGGAGATGGGGGAGAGCTCAGAGCTGCTGGCAGAGTGGCCCTGTGACTCGCAGTGGCCATAGCCCCGCCTGCGGGGCCCGCGACAGACCCATGCCTGGACAGGACACACCGAGGGCAGTGACTCCCGAAGATCTGGACCGGGCCCTTAGAGGGAGCAAGGAGCTCCGTCGCAGGGGTGGGGTGGGGGAGGGGGGAGTTGACACCCGCTCCCTCGCCCACGCAGGACGAGGTCAGCCCGCCGCTGGCCATGCCGCCCTCCAAGATCCACGTGCTGCTGCTGGTGCTGCACGGGGGCACCATCCTGGATACGGGCGCCGGGGACCCCAGCTCCAAGCAGGGCGACACCAACACCATCGCCACCGTGTTTGACACCGTCATGCGCGTGCACTACCCCAGCGCCCTGGGCCGCCTGGCCATCCGCCTGGTGCCCTGCCCGCCCGTCTGCGCCGATGCCTTCGCCCTGGTCTCCAAGTGAGTGCGCAGGTCTGCGGTCGCCTGCCCCCTCCCCCCGACGCCCCTCCCCCCGGCCCCCCATGTTGGGACCATCTGTCTGGACGTCCAGACAGGCCATCCAGGCCGTTCTGCCCAGAGGTGTCAAAACCTATGCAGGTGGCCGGGCCTTGGGGTCCCCTCGTGTGGGTGCTCACCTGGCACCCAGACTTGGGGCCTCACTCCCCAGCCCTGCCCCCCGCCCGCCCGGGACGGGCCTGCTGAGTCCTGGCTGAGGCTCTCCGCTCAGGGCAGGGGAGAGGGGCTCTGGGACTGACATGAGACTCCGGGGCTGACCCGCAGCCATGGCTCTGTCCTGACTGGGCCCCCTCCCCCAGCCTCAGCCCCTACAGCCACGACGAAGGCTGTCTGTCCAGCAGCCAGGACCACATCCCCCTGGCCGCCCTGCCCCTGCTGGCCACCTCCTCGCCCCAGTACCAGGAGGCGGTTGCCACGGTGATCCAGCGGGCCAACCTCGCCTACGGGGACTTCATCAAGTCCCAGGAGGGCGTGACCTTCCACGGGCAGGTGAGCCGGGGGGTCCGGGAAGGAAAGGCCGAACACCCGGGCGGCGGGGTTGGGGTGGGGCCTGCCTGGACCCCGGGCCCGGCCGTGGCGGGCACCCCGGTTCTCCCCGGCCTGCGTCTCAGCCCCGAGGCCCCACTCCCTCCCTCCAGGTGTGCCTGATCGGGGACTGCGTGGGGGGCATCCTGGCCTTCGACGCCCTGTGCTACAGCAGCCAGCCGGTGTCCGAGAGCCAGAGCAGCAGCCGCAGGGGCAGCGTGGCCAGCGTGCAGGTACCGGGGACGGAAGCTGGGGATGGGGGGCAGGGTTGTCCTCTCTCTGGCTTGTTGAGAGCCTGGCCTGGCAGGGGGCCTGCCGTCAGGAGGGACGGCCCGGAAGGGAGCAGGCCAGCCGCCTCCTGGCAGTGAGCCTGCGTGGGCTGTTCCAGGACACTGACCTGCTGTCCCCGGGCATCCTGGTGAACTCGTCGCACGGCGGCGGCGGCGGCGGCGGAGGAGGAGGCAGTGGCGGTGGTGGTGGCGGTGGCGGCGGTGGCGGTGGCGGCGGCAGCCTGGAGAGCAGCAGGCACCTGAGCCGCAGCAGCATCGACATCCCCCGTAGCAACGGCACCGAGGACCCCAAAAGGCAGCTGCCCCGGAAGAGGAGCGACTCGTCCACCTACGAGCTGGACACCATCCAGCAGCACCAGGCCTTCCTGTCCAGGTGGGCGGGGCCGGCGGGGGCTGGGGGTCAGGCCAGGAGGCCCACCGCCAGGGGTGGGGGATGGGGCCTCCCAGAGGAAGGACGGCCGATGTCAGGGTCCAGGGGCCCCCAGCCTCACTGGGCCCGCAATTTTTCTGCAGGAGAAGGGGGGGGGGGAGGTAGGGTACAGTTGTGGTCCTGCCCATGCTGAGGGCCATCCTGAGCCAGAGGGGACAGAGTGTCTGGGGGAAGGAAGCGGGGGCAGAACTGACCAGGGCAGGCTGGTCCCGGTCAAGGCCGTCCCAAAGGCAGTGGGCCCCTTAGAGAGGTGGGACCCTCTGTCCTCAGAGGTGTCCCTGCAGCCCTGGGGCAGCTGCACGTGGGAGGCAGCACAGGGGTGCAGCCTCTTTGGGCCTGAGGACCCCTCAGGGGCCTCCTTCGGGAGCGGAGGGGGGCAGGCCAGCCCCGAGAAGGGCCTCGGTGTGACCTGGCGCCCCACCCCCACCCCCCGCAGCCTCCACGCGAGCGTGCTGAGGAACGAGCCCGGCTCCCGCCGCTCCAGCAGCTCCACCATGCTGGACGGCACGGGGGCCCTGGGCCGGTTCGACTTCGAGGTCGCCGACCTCTTCCTCTTCGGGTGCCCGCTGGGGCTGGTCCTGGCCTTGAGGAAGACGGTCATCCCCAGCCTGGATGGTGAGAGCCCTGCGGGGTGCGGTGGGGCGGGTGACACAGGATCAGAACGCAGGGTCTCCGTGGACCCCTGTCTCGAGGCCATGGTCACGTCCCAGGCCCCTTCCCATATCGGCCTCTTTTTTTTTTTTTTCTTTGTCCTCCGTATTTCTCCCATGCTCCTGTTCAGCAGCTCGGCCCCTGGCCCCTGTGTCCCATCACCTGCTGTTTCATATCTTCTCCGAGTCTCTCTCTCTCTCTCCCCCTCCTCCCCACCCTCTCGGAGCTGTGGTCCGGATAGGAAAGGGAGCCCTCCGGGGTCAGTGGGGGATAGATGCAGTCTCCCAGGCCCTAGGTCTTCCCAAAAAGGATGCAGCCAGGCACCCCCAAAGCCTTCCTGGTTCAGTGACCTCACAGCCCCGGATCCGCCACGGCCACGCTGCTCCAGGGACCCTCCTCACGTCTACACGGACAGAGAGGCGAGACGTTCGGGCTGAGCCGTCTGTCAGCGACGGTCCCTGCCCGGTGCCTGCCCCCAGGATCAGCCAGTGTGGCCCTGCCATCCTCACCGCAGGGCCCATGTCACAGGCCCCAGGTCACAGGGGGGGAACAGGCTCAGCGAGGGTTAGACACTTGCCCGAGAGCGAGCGGACAGGGCCTGGCATAGGGACAGTGATGTTATGTGGAGGGTAATGTGGCAGAGCTACACGTGCTGATGGGAAAGACGCCAACATTCTGTTTGTTCAATGAAAAAAAAAAAAAAAGGCAAAGTTCAAAAAGTATAACCTGTGTTCCTATCCATGTGTGTGATTTATTTTTATTTTTTTTAATATATTTTATTGACTTTTTTACAGAGAGGAAGGGAGAGGGATAGAGAGTTAGAAACATCGGTCAGCCGCCTCCTGCACACCTCCTACTGGGGATGTGCCAACAACCAAGGTACATGTCCTTGGCAGGAATCGAACCCGGGACCTTTCAGTCGCAGGCCGACGCTCTATCCACTGAGCCACACCGGACAGGGCTCATGGGTGTGATTTAAAACTAGACACACACTACCGACAGCTTACACAGATTCCAACCTCTCCCCCCTGCTTCACTCTTCATCAGAGTGGAGCATCCCTCTGAAATGTTTCATACGCCAGCCAACGTCGCATAAATCAGAGAGGCAATTACCATTAATTTATGTGGGACATTTTTTTTGAGCGTTCCCAGACATGAAAATAACCTTCCAAGCGATACCAAATACGCTTAATTACATCCAGTTTCTACAATAAGCATAACACCCTTCTGAGGTCTCCTGGTCTTCCGACAGCTTAGGGCACGTCCTGCTAACAGCTGCACAGAATAAACCGAGATAAAGCGCAGATGCTCACCGGCAGCTCAGAGCTCTGGCAGCTGGGAGCTGCGATGCCGGGGTGGTTGGTTCCCGGGAGGGAGCTTGGCAGGGCCACCCGGCTGCCTCTACAGCAGCTCGTGCGAAACGAACGCTAAGACCTGTCCAGGTGGTTCAGTCGGTTGGTGCGTCGTCCCGTACACCCAAAGGTTGCGGGTTCGATCCCTGGTCAGGGTACGTGTGGGAGGCAGCCAGCCGATATTTCTCCCTCTTTCTCTCAAATAATAAAAGCCTATTCTTTTTGTTTGTTTGTTTTGTTTTGTTTTTAAATATATTTTATTGATTTTTCACAGAGAGGAAGAGAGAGGGATAGAGAGTAAGAAACATCGATGAGAGAGAATCATCGACCAGCTGCCTCTTGCACACCCCCACTGGGGATGTGCCCGCAACCAAGGTACATGCCCTTGCCTGGAATCGAACCTGGGACCTTTCAGTCCGCAGGTCGACGTAAAAGCCTATTCTTGAGTGAGGATTTACAGATGCCGAACCCTCTTTTCAAGTTTCTTTGTAAAAGTGACCGTGTTCTTGGAGGGTTTTTTTGTTTTGTTTTGTTTTGGTTTTTTTTTACAGAGAGGAAGAGAAGAGGGATAGAGAGTTAGAAACATCGATGAGACAGAAACATCGACCAGCTGCCTCCTGCACACTCATTACTGGGGATGTGCCCACAACCAAGGTACATGCCCTTGACCAGAATCGAACCTGGGACCTTTCAGTCCGCAGGCCGACGCTCTATGCACTGAGCCAAACTGGTTTTGGCATTGGAGTTTCTTTTGGTTAGCGAAATCGGGTACAGATGGTCCCCAAGTTAGGATGGTGTGACTTTCGAATTTTTTCAACTTTGCGGTGGTGCAAAAGCGATCCCCTGTCAGTAGAAACTGAACTTCAAATTTTGGCTTCTGAGATCCTCCCAGGCTAGCAGTAGGTGGAATGATCCTCTCTCAGGATGCTGCGCGCTATAAAACAAGCTTCATGCAGACAATTCTGCCCAGCCACAGGCCAGACGGAGTGTTCTGAGCATGTAGAGGGGAGCCGGGCTAAGCCAGGATGGCCGGCAGGTGAGGTGCAGCAAATGCGTTTTCGACTGAAGATGCTTTGCATTTACAATGCACTTATTGGGACCTGACCTCATCACAAGTCGTAAGCCGAGGAGCGTCTGTATTAACATAGGTCTTTCCTAAAAGCAGAGGGTGGATGCCTGTGCTTACATGGTGTGTATGTGTGTGTGTGTGTGTGTGTGTGTGTCCGGTCAAGGGCATGTACCATGGTTGCAGGCACATCTCCAGTGGGGGGTGTGCAGGAGGCGGCTGATCGATGATTCTCATCAATGTTTCTAACTCTCTATCCCTCTCTCTTCCTCTCTGTAAAAAAATCAATAAAACATATTTTTTTTAAATAAAAAGGTTAATAAGAGGAAAATGGTCCAAACAGATCCCAAATTCATAGGCACATGTATGAATAGGTCACGTATCCGGACCACCAGCCCACCGTCCATGCTGTAGACGCTGCTCAGTTCTAGGCCCTCCCCCAGCTACAGGCGCCCCCCAGCTCCAGGCCCCACCCAGTCCTAAGCCCCGCCCCACCCCAGGCCCCACCCAGTCCTAAGCCCCTAGGCTCCGCCCAGTCCTAAGCCCCTCCCCGTCTGGCTACAGGCCCCGCCCAGCTTCTAAGCCCCGCCCTGCTCCAGACCCCGCCTTCTTGGGGCGGAGCTGACTGTCAGGCGACTCCGCCCCTCCCCGCCCCCAGTGTTCCAGCTGCGGCCCGCCTGCCAGCAAGTGTACAACCTGTTCCACCCCGCGGACCCGTCGGCCTCGCGCCTGGAGCCCCTGCTGGAGCGGCGATTCTTCGCCCTGCCGCCCTTCAGCATCCCCCGCTACCAGCGCTACCCGCTGGGGGACGGCTGCTCCACGCTGCTGGGTGAGGACCCCGCGGGCGGGCGGGTGCTGGGTGGGTGCTCCAGGCCTGGGTGGGCGTGCTATGCGGGGAAGGGCGTCCTACACGGAACACCTGGGAATCTGGGCACCTGTCTAGGAGAGGGCGCACTGGCCCCCTGATCCCACAGTTAGGAATAAGGACGGGCTCTCAGCCCCATGCCCGGGCCCAGACAGGTCCCAACTGCCCGCCGAGGCGGAGCTGAGGACCCGAGGGGCTTTGTGCTGAGCCCCCCGTGCCCAACCCAGATATGGGGGCGCAGGATGGGGGGCGGCACAGAGGTGGCCTGTGCAGGGAGTGAGTGTGCGAGCTGCGCTCCCAGGGACCGGCCCTGCCCTCCCCCACCCCCCCCTGCCCCGGCGTGTGCCCCGGTCGCCCTGTCGCCTGGTCCTCGAGCCCCGTGTGTCTTGTGTCGGAGCCTGTCCGGACGGTCCACATGAGTGTCTGTTCTTGTCCTCTGTTCTCTCCCCGTCTGCCTCCAGTCGAGACCGTGCAGAGAAACCCCGAGCTGGTCCTGGAGGGCGGCCCCCTGACCCCCCTCCCCGGGGACGGCTTCCTGGAAACCAGTATCCCAGTTCCCGAGCTCACCTGGCAAGACGGGCCCCGCCCGAGCCCGAGCCCGAGCCCGAGCCCGGGCTGTGCTGAGTGTGTGTAACCCCGTTCGTGACGTGTCTGCTTCACTGGCTGACGCTGGCCTCAGCCACCCTCCCGTGCTCCCGGCCACTTGGAGTCTGTGGGACTGAGGTGGAAGGAGGGGGGCCCGGTGGGCCAGGTCCAGCAGAGCGGGTCCCAGTGCCCGCCCTCTGCACACCGGGGCCGAGCCAGGCGGGGGCCGAAGCCAAGGGGTCCTAGGAGCCCCGAGGGGGGGAAGCAGCTGCTCAGGGTCACCGAGTGCCGGTCCGAGTTCTCTTTCCCCCAACGTGAGGCTGGCAGGGCAGCCAGGAGGTGGGGTGAGGCCTCAAGCCCCCGGGACTCACCCGTTCCCCAGGCCTCACTCCGTCCCTCCCTGAGAAGGCCCAGGCACCTCCCGCACCCCATCCAGACATGGGTCCTTTAGCCAGCCCCTTACCCCAGCTCTGCCCTGCCCTCGGCCGGGCCCAGGTGAGCCTGGTTCAAGCCCTCCGCTCCTGCCTCGGTCAGGGTGGCCCTCGTGTGAGGGATGTATGTGAGGCCTCAGCGTAGGGCGTCCCTGGAAAGCCACCCCCAGCCCCTGTTGTTAGCACCCCTCAAACCCAACTGCCATGGGCTGCGGGTGAGGCTGGGCTGGGCCCTGAAGCTAAGAATGCTAGACTAGACCACGTCAGGGGGGGCGGGGGGCAGAAGGGGGGGAGAGATAAGAAGGATGCTCAGCAGGGGGTAGGGGCTGAGGGGGGGTGTGAGCCTGGCTGCATTGACTCCCTGCCCACTGTGTCTGTGTCGGTCCCCTGTCCATCCTGCCCTGGCCCTCCCTTCCTGCCTCAGCTCCGTGTCCTGTTCCCTCAGCCCTGAGCAGGCAGCCCTGGCACACTGAGGCCCTTCCTCGCTGCCAGCTCTGCTCGTCTGCCGCTGGAGGTGTCAGCCTTGCCTGGCATAGCCTGCCCCCACCCCCCTCCCCCAGCCCATGCTGGACCCTCCCTCCCTCCCTCCCTCTGCTCGGGGGCTGCAGGCGGGCGCGGCCTCTCTTACCCCTGGCTCTCTGGTCCCTGTCCACCTGCAGCCGAGGCGCTCCAGACCCACAACACACTTTTCCAAGAGCACATGGCCCCCTCCTCGCCCGGCGCGGCCTCCAGCACCCGGGGCTTCCGGCGAGCCAGCGAGATCAGCATCGCCAGCCAGGTGTCGGGCATGGCTGAGAGCTACACCGTCTCCGGCATTGCCCAGAGTGAGTTCCCTCCCTGCGCTGCCCCCTCTGCCCTGCAGGGGGCAGCGTGCGCCCCAGGGAACAGGTGGCAATGTCTGGACACAGCTGGGGAGAGGGCGCCGCTGGCACCTGGTGAGCAGAGGCCAGGGCTGCTGCTCGACACCCCGAAACGCTCAGGACGCCCCACAATGGAGCGGTCCGGCCCCAGGTGTCTGCGAGGACTCTGGCGGGAGGGAGTAGCGGAAGGGCCGGCCCAGGGGGCCGGATCCCGGTGGCGGAGGTTGGCGGCACTGGCTCAGAAAGCTGGGAGTCAGTGGGCCTGGTCCTAGCCTTTGCGGGGGGGGGGGGGGGGGGGGGGAGGTGGAGGAGGGCGCATGGAATGTGGGGTGCTCCGTGAGGGAGAAAGCTAAGGGGGGTGTTTCTGGGCAAGTAAGGCGAGCCGGACAGGCCGGGGGTTGGCTGAGGAAGCCAGGGAGATGAGGCCTCACCGTGGCCCCAGGGGGCAGAGGACACGGCGGCCTTTGCTTGGTGGCCCCTGCCCATCTCAGAAGACTCTGCAGCTGGGCGGAGTGCCGGTCACCCCTTCTCCATGCCCCCGGCCGCCGCCCTGCCACCCCCTTGCCCTCATGACAGTCCTCAGGCCCCTGGCAGAGCCGTGGCCCCGGGCAGAGGCTGGTACGGTGCCGTCCTGTGCGGAGGGCCGAGGGGCCCGGCACTCATCCTCCCAGCATCCTCCCCGGCCCCGACGGCAGCGCTGAGGCCGCTCCCTCGTTCTCGTTCTCAGAGGCCCCCGTGCCGATCAGCCACACCCCCAGCGTCAGGCGCCTGTCCCTGCTCGCCCTGCCCCCCCCACCCCCCTCCACCCCGGGGCCCCGCCCGCAGGCCCGGCGGGCGAGCCCCCACCTCCCCGACCTGGACATCAGAGGAGGTACCGGGCGCCTCACGCCCTCCACCCACACTCGCCGCCGCCGCCGCCACCTCTCACGGGGTCACCGCTGTTTCCAGGCACCTGTCACTGCTGGGCTCTGCTCACTGCCCGCTGAGGCCTAACCGGGGAGCCAGGGGCCGGGCTGGGAGCCCTCGGGCATCCAGGGAGTGGGGGCAGGAGCAGATGGAGTTGCGGGGGGACACCCATGGAGCTGGGATGAAGGGGTGGGGGGCCAGGACTGTGGTCAGGCAGCTGGCAGAGGGCAGGGGGACCCCTTTTACTGAGTTACCTGGGCATTTCCTGCATGAGCCTCCTCTCTCTAGACAGGGTGGACCCAGCCCCGAGTGGGACTGGAGATTCGCTCGGCCAGTCTGACCTCACCAGCTCCCAGGGGCTGATGGGAAGCCTTTCACAGCCTGAGGCCTGGGGGGGACGGGGGCCCAGGGAGAGTGGGGTCCAGGGGAGGGTCACGGGGGTCGGCCACAGGACCAGGGATAGCGAGTCCTGCCTCCAAAGGCTCTTTCCTTCCCCCTCTGAGCCCACCCCCCCTCCTGGGGGCCCCTGGTGCCCCGCATGCTCGCCCCTGTCCTGGCCCCTGGCCCTCCCCCTGCTCCCCTTACCCAGCCTGGCAGGGGGACTCTCGCTTCGGCTGCTGCCCTTTCCCCGGTTGGAGGAGGGTCTTCGCCTTGGGACTGAGCCCGGACTGAGGGGCCGGGGGACCCTCTGGGGTCCCAGCCCCGTCACCGCCCCCGCCTCCTCCCGGCAGTTGCTGCGAAGTGGTGGGGCCAGAAGCGGATCGACTACGCCCTGTACTGCCCCGACGCCCTGACAGCCTTCCCCACCGTGGCCCTGCCACACCTCTTCCACGCCAGCTACTGGGAATCCACCGACGTGGTCTCCTTCCTGCTGAGACAGGTACCAGTGCCACTGCCAGGCGCCCAGGGGGCTGCTGACGAGGAGGGCAGCAGGGACCCTGCCCTCTGACCCCACGGGACAAGAGCATGCCCAGAGCATGGGCACTAGTGGGTTAGTAACCCCCAAACCCTCACAGCTTCCTAATTTTTTAGTGTTTTGTGTTTTTAGAACCCTCACCGGAGGATATTTTTCCACGGATTTTTAATATATTTTATTGATTTTTCTCAGAGAGGAATAGAGAGGGATAGAGAGAAACATCGATGAGAGAGAATCATTGATCAGCTGCCTCTTGCACACCCCCCACTGGGGATGTGCCCGCAACCAAGGTACATGCCCTCGACCGGAATCGAACCCGGGACCCTTCAGTCCACAGGCCGATGCTCTATCCACTGAGCCAAACTGGCTAGGGCTATGCTGTTTTATAATTGATTTCAGGAGAGGAAGAGAGAGAGAGAAGCATCAATGATGAGAGAGAATCACCGATGGGTTGCCTGTTGCACACCCTCTACTGGGGATCAAGCTCGCAACCCGGGCATGTGCCCCGACCAGGATTGGAACCGTGACCTCCTGGTTCCTGGGTCACTGAGCCACACCGGCTGGGCCACAGCTTCCTGCTTCCGGGTCCTGGAACAGGAGGCCCAGGCTCGAGCCTGCTCCCTGTGCCCTCGCCCCGCTCCCTCCCAGGTCATGAGGCACGACAACTCTAGCATCTTGGAGCTGGACGGCAAGGAGGTCTCGGTGTTCACACCCTCGAAGCCGAGAGAGAAGTGGCAGCGCAAGAGGACCCACGTGAAGCTGCGGGTGAGGGTCCTCGGGGTGCCCGGGCCCCGGCGTGTCGTCCCGTGGAATCCCCACAAGGAGACCCGTCTCACAGATGCAGCGACTGAGTTCCCGGAAGCATGCTGTCTCTCTCTCTATATATATATATTATTGATTTTGTACAGTGAGGAAGGGAGAGAGATAGAGAGTTAGAAACATCGATGAGAGAGTCATCGATCAGCTGCCTCTTGCACACCCCCTACTGGGGATATGCCCGCAACCAAGGTACATGCCCTTGACCGGAATCGAACCCAGGACCTTTCAGTCCCCAAGCCGACGCTTTATCCATTGAGCCAAACCGGTTTCGGCAGCATGCTGTCTCTTTTACCCCCCGTCTATGAGACTGGAGCCAGGACCCCACTTACCGGCGGGGATGTGCTCCCCCATTTCCCCACGGCCACGTGGCTCCGTGGCTGAGCTGGACTTGAACCTGAGCTTTCTGGCCTTAAGCCCAGCCCCCCACACACAGGCCCATGGTAGGCCTGAGCAGAGCCCTGGAGACCCCAACCGCCCCTCCACTCCCCACCCTGACCCCACCCCTCCCCTCCCCTTCCCAGAACGTGACAGCCAACCACCGGATCAATGACGCCGTCGCCAACGAGGACGGCCCGCAGGTGCTGACGGGCCGGTTCATGTACGGGCCCCTGGACATGGTCACCCTGACGGGGGAGAAGGTGAGGACGCGGGTGGGAGACGGCGGGAGCCCCTGCCTGCCGCCCTGTGGCCGGGGCTGGGGGAGGAGGGCCGGCGGCACCGCCCCCTCCTGACCAGCCCGCCCGGCCCCAGGTGGACGTGCACATCATGACGCAGCCGCCCTCAGGGGAGTGGCTGTACCTGGACACGCTGGTGACCAACAGCAGCGGGCGCGTGTCCTACGCCATCCCCGAGACGCACCGCCTGGGCGTGGGCGTGTACCCCGTGAAGATGGTGGTCAGGTGCGCGCCTCGTCGGGGCGGGCGGGGGCGGGCGGGCGGGGGTGTCTTCCTCGGGGACGGAGGAAGGGACTCCGGTGAGTTCTGATGAGCCGCCCCCCCCTCCCGCCCAGGGGAGACCACACGTTTGCCGACAGCTACATCACCGTGCTGCCCCGGGGCACGGAGTTCGTTGTCTTCAGCATCGACGGCTCCTTCGCCGCCAGCGTGTCCATCATGGGCAGCGACCCCAAAGTGCGGGCCGGCGCCGTGGACGTGGTGCGGTGAGTGGGCCCGAGGGGCGTGGCGGCGGGGCCCGGGAGCCACAGGAGGGGACCTTGGTCAGGGACCTTGAAGGTAGCACCACCTTTTACCAGCTCTGTGACCTTCACTTGACCTCTTTTTACTTAATATATTTTCCTTAGTTATTTCTTAAATGTATTTTATTGATTTTTTTTACAGAGAAGAGGAGAGAGGGATAGAGAGTTAGAAACATCGATGAGAGAGAAACACCGACCAGCTGCCTCTTGCACATCCCCTACTGGGGACGTGCCCACAACCAAGGTACATGCCCTTGACCGGAATCGAACCCGGGACCTATCAGTCTGTAGGCTGCTGCTCTGTCCATTAGACTAAACTGGTTTCGGCTTGACCTCTTTTTAAAAAATATATTTTTTTATTGATTTCAGAGAGGAAGGGAGAGGGACAGAGATAGGAACATCAAGGATGAGAGAGGATCATTGATTGGCTGCCTCCTGCATGCCTGGGGATTGAGCCCTCAACCTGGCTATGTGCCCTGACCAGGAACCGTGACCTCCTGGTTCATAGGTCGACGCTCAACCACCTAGCCACGTCAGCCCAGCTTCACTTGACCTTTTTTTTTTTTAATATACTTTCATTGATTTCAGAGAGGAAGGGAGAGGGAGAGAGAGAAGCATCAATGATGAGAGAATCACTGATTGGCTGCCTCCTACAGGCCCCTACTAGGGATCGAGCCCACAACCTGGGCACCTGCCCTTGGCCGGAATCAAACCCGGGAACCCTCAGTCCACAGGCTGGCGCTCTATCCACTGAGCCACACCAGGGAGGGCTCGTTGGACCTCTTGGTGTTGGTGCTTCAGGCCCCTGGCTGGGAGGCGGCCTTCACAGACCAGGCGCTCTGTGGGACGGTGTGGCTTAGGCGTGGGTGCTGCCCTGGAGCCGCCACCGTTGTTGTTGCTACTGTTACTGTCGGAGCCGGGCCAGAGGTGCCCCTTCCCGTGGCCCAGGTGGCAGGGTCCCCAGGAAGGGGCCCGGGGTGGCTGTGGGACGCCAGGCCTGCCCCTCGCTCCCCAGGCACTGGCAGGACCTGGGCTACCTCATCATCTACGTGACGGGCCGGCCCGACATGCAGAAGCAGCGGGTGGTGGCGTGGCTGGCCCAGCACAACTTCCCCCACGGCGTGGTGTCCTTCTGCGACGGCCTGGTGCATGACCCGCTGCGGCACAAGGCCAACTTCCTGAAGCTGCTCATCTCCGAGGTGGGGCCCGGGCGGGACGGGGCGGGCGGGGGGCGTAGGAGGCCGCCGTGCCCACACCGTCTCCCCCGCAGCTGCACCTGCGCGCGCACGCGGCCTACGGCTCCACCAAGGACGTGGTGGTCTACAGCTCCATCAGCCTGTCCCCCATGCAGATCTACATCGTGGGCCGGCCCACCAAGAAGCTGCAGCAGCAGTGCCAGGTGAGCGGGCGGGGGGGGGGGGGAGGAGAGCCAGGTGAGCGGGCGGGGGGGGGGGAGAGCAGTGCCAGGTGAGCGGGCGGGGTGGGGGGGGAGCAGTGCCAGGTGAGCGGGCGGGGGGGGGGAGGAGAGCCAGGTGAGCGGGGGGGGGGGGGGGGGAGAGCAGTGTCAGGTGAGCGGGCGGGGGGGGGGGAGCAGTGCCAGGTGAGCGGGCGGGGGGGGGGGAGGAGAGCCAGGTGAGCGGGGGGGGGGGGGGGGAGAGCAGTGTCAGGTGAGCGGGCGGGGGGGGGGGAGCAGTGCCAGGTGAGCGGGCGGGGGGGGGGGAGAGCAGTGCCAGGTGAGCGGGCGGGGGCGGGAGAGCAGTGCCAGGTGAGCGGGCAGAGGGCGGGGGAGAGCAGTGCCAGGTGAGCGGGGGGGGGAGAGCAGTGCCAGGTGAGCGGGCGGGGGGGGGGGGGAGAGCAGTGCCAGGTGAGCGGGCGGGGGGGGGGGGGGAGGAGAGCCAGGTGAGCGGGCGGGGGGGGGGGGGGAGAGCAGTGCCAGGTGAGCGGGCGGGGGGGGGGGAGAGCAGTGCCAGGTGAGCGGGCGGGGGGGGGGGGGGAGCAGTGCCAGGTGAGCGGGCGGGGGGGGGGGGAGCCAGGTGAGCGGGCGGGGGGGGGGTGGGGGGGAGAGCAGTGCCAGGTGAGCAGCAGGGGGTGGTGGGCAGCACGGGGGTGGGGGGAGGAGAGCAGTGCCAGGTGAGCGGGGGCGGGGGGAGAGCAGTGCCAGGTGGGGGGGGGGGAGCAGTGACAGATGAGCAGCAGGGGGTGGTGGGCAGCTCGGGGCAGCGGGGAAAGGCGGGGGGCCGCCGCCCTCACGGCCCCTCCCCCGCAGTTCATCACGGACGGCTACGCGGCCCACCTGGCCCAGCTCAAGTACAACCACCGGGCGCGGCCGGCCCGCAACACGGCCACCCGCATGGCGCTGCGCAAGGGCAGCTTCGGCCTGCCCGGCCAGGGCGACTTCCTGCGCTCCCGCAACCACCTGCTCCGGACCATCTCGGCCCAGCCCAGCGGGCCCGGCCTCCGGCACGAGCGGACGCAGAGCCAGCCGGACGGCGGCGAGCAGCGAGGCCAGCGCAGCATGAGCGTGGCGGCCGGCTGCTGGGGCCGGACCATGGCCGGCCGGCTGGACCCGGGGGCGGCCGCGGGCCCCAAGTAGGGCCCCCTGCGTGAGGTGCTGCGGTCTCCATGGTGCTAGGCCGGGCGGCCGCCCACCAGGAGGCCTGGCCGGGGCACACGCGGCGGCCGGGGACAGCCTTGTCCCAGGGCCTCACGAGCCCTCCCAGCCCTGCCTCGCGTCCCAGGGCCTTCGGGGGTCCCCGTTGGAAGCTGGCGGGACAGCCAGCCCCAGGACGGCAGAGGGGCCGGGACCCGCCCTGCGTGGACCTCGCAGCGTCCGGACGCCGGGCCTGGGCCCAGCCTGCCACCTCCCTGGCCACTAGCTTGCCTGACCCCCACGTGCCCTCCCGCCGGGTCGCAGCTGCTGCTTGTTGACGGGAGTTCGCTCTCCAGCCTCGCTGGCTCTGCGCTGGTTTTTGCGAGCAGAGGCCCGTTGTCCTCTCCTGTGGCTGCAGGCGCGCTCGCCAGCGTGAACAGTCACCTTCTGCGGAACCAGGACCTCCTGCCCCACGGAAGGCCCCAGGGCAGAGCACACTGTGCAAGCAGGAAAGAGAGGCCATATCTTAATCTCTGCAGCTCTGCCTGGAGCCCGGGGAGGCCTGACCGGCCCGCCCGCGTTTCTACACCTTTCTACTTCTCCGGATCTGATTTCTACGAGGTTTTTTTAAACGAGCAATCCCAGGCTGCTTCCTTTTCTTAACTCTCGCAGCACCGAGCGCAGCCCCTCCGCACGGAGACACCCAGCACTGTGAGGGAGTCCAGCCTGGCTCAGGGGCCCGGGCCCGGCCTCCTGCTCCACCCAACCCGATCATCCCACTGGATTTCTACTCGGAGGGGTGGGCACACACTTAGGTTTTTCTTAATGCCAGTTCCGTTCCCACGCCGAGTCTGAGAAGCCATGGCTCCTGTCATTAGCTCGAGTGCAGGCAGCTACGGCTTCCCATCCTCCCTGGCCCAGGCCACGCCGGCCTGCACGGGTCTGCGCGCCAGCCCTCCCGCCCAGGCCCGGCTGTGACCTCAGCTGTGGCTCTCGGCTCCGGCGGCCCCTCTGTGGCTCCTCCACCTTCTTCAAGGCCGTCCAGCCGGAGGCTCCGTATCTGAGAAGCTGCTGCCAACCTGGGTACGGCCTCGGGGCCTCTCGGGCTGGGGTGTGGAGGTGCCCTGCCCGCCCGCCCGCCCGCCCGCCCTACACATTTCCCCACCTGTAGATATGTACAGTCAAAGGGTCGTGTAAATGTTCTTCGAGGGGGGCCTACACAGAGTGAAGCTATTTATTTTGTGCAGAGGAAACTGTCTGGAGGACGGACCTTCAGGTTTATCCGTGTTTAAGATGTAGCTTTTTTGTTGTTTTGGGCGTTCTGTATAAAGCACCGGTTGTTTATAGACTGAGTCCTAACGTCACTGTTGCAGTGGAAGTGCAATATCTGACCCCTGCTCCCCAGGGGGATTGCTCGGCCGACAATCAGCCCCGCCAGGGGCCCGGTGGCCAGTGCCGCGGCCTCCGCCGGCCCCGCCTGGCCCCCGCCTGGATGACTAGCCATCGGGGACGCGCCTGGAAGAGCTTGGCCCGCCTGCAATAACGGCCGAGGCTCCTTGGCCGGGGGAGGCCGCGGGCAGGGGGCTGGCCTCTCCCAGCGGGCAGCCCCTCGCAGCTCTGCGCTCCCTTCTTCCTGCCCGGCTGCCAGCCATGCCAAGGACAACAGCAATAGCCGGGCCTCTCCTTAGCCATAGACGCCGCGGCGGGCGGGCAGCCTCCTGTGGCCGCCGCCGCCGTCTCCCGCGCCCAGGTGTGCTTCCTGCCTCCCTGACCTTCCTGTAGGCACGGCCTCCTCCTGAGGAAGCACCGGTTTCTCAGAAACGGAGAGGGAGAGCAGAGTCCTTTAAAAAAATACCAAAAATGTTTACAGCGTCGGGTGCTGAGCTGCGGGCTCAGGCCTGACCGGTCATTACCAAAGGGTGAGGCGGGCCGCGCTGACTGCCCCCCACGGGGCCTGTCAGGGTGGCCTCCTTGGCCCGCCCCCGCCCACACCGCCCCCCTGCCTCCTGGATCTTCAGAGAGGGAGTCAGCAGAGACCCACCCGCCAGCCACGTTGGTCTACGTCTCAGCCCCTCCTGTCTGTCTGTCTGTCAGGCCGTGTGTGAGCAGTGTCCTGACTCCCCCGCACCCCCACCCTCGCTGTCCCTTGCGCCATCGGGCCTGAGTGTGCTCTGTATCCAGTGCCATTGTCTGATTGTCCGTCACACCAATTAAAGAAGCTCCAAGGCTTCCTCCTGGGTCTCGTTACTGCACCAGCCACCAGAGCAGTGGGGGCTGAGGGGAGGGGAGGAGGAGGGGAGGGCGGGCGCACGGCCTGTGCCGTACATACTCTGCGCCAGCGGCACCCGTGGGAGCCCTGGACCGCCAGCCCAGCACAGGGCCTCCGGGCTGGACGCACAGGGCAGCAGTGTCCCCCCAGCCGGAGGGAATCGGGTTAAAGAGCCCAGTCTCCAATTCGGGGCACCCCTCCTGCCCTCCCTCCACACAAGCAGCAGCGCACACGACGTCTCAGCCGGGGACGTTTAATGCGGGCAGCGGGGCTCCTCCAGGGGCAGGGAGCCGAGCGGGACAGGGACTGAGAGGCGGCTGCACGGAGGCGGTCCACAGGAGAGGGCGCACGGCACCCACGCGGCCGCCTGCTGCCCACCCTGTCAGACCCCGGTCAGCGGGGCCTCAGGGCAGCAGCCCCGCTCGCATCTGGAAGGCCAGGCCGTCCCCTCGGGTGGCTTGCTGGGTGAGAGAGCACAGGAGAGAGGGCGCGTCACACGGGGAGGGGGGGGGGGGGGGGGCGGGCCCCAGGCAGAGGGAGGGGAGGGACCCACCTTGTTGATCTCCCGGTGCCGTTCCTTGGTTACAATTTCCTCCAAGACCTCGCCGTCTCCCTTAATGAGCCTGGGGAAGAGGGGAGCAGGCTGATCAGGCTGAGTCCCCCGTTGTGCCCCTCCCCCCCTCCCCGGGACAGGGACACAGGAGGCTGGGTGGGCTCTGCCATCAGATCAGCAGCACTGGCTCTCGGATGACCCTGCAGCCGCTTGGGGAGTCCATCCACAGGGACTCTCCCGTCCTGCAGCCACCACCCCTCCCCCTGCAGGCGCGGGCCAGGGGCCGGGCTCCGCCGCCCTCTCCCCACCTGGTGCGGCCGGTCTCCGGGTCCACCACCTTGCGGATGATGCTCTGCCTCGCGTCCCACTCCTCCTTGGTCATGGGCTTCATGGCCTGGATGCGCGATTTCTGCTCATCTGTCAGGACTGGAAGGGGCGACGGCGGGGAGGTGGTGGTCGGACCGCGGGGAGGGGCCGTCCTGGCCCCGCTCACCCCGCAGCCCCGTACCTGGGCCGTCGTCGTCCTCCCCGGCGGACCGGTGCCACTGGTCCAGCGAGGGGCCCGGCAGAGCCTCCGGCGGCTGCACCTCTGCCTTCTCCTTGTCTTTCTTCTTCAGCTTCTTCCTTTTCTTCTTCTTCTTCTTCCTCCTCTTCTTGTCCTTGTGCTTCCCCCGCTTCTTCCGGCCATGGCTGGAGGAGGAGGAGGAGGAGGAGGACGAAGAGGAGGAAGAGGAGCTGGGAGAACTGGAAGAGGAGGAGGAGGAGGAGCTGGAACGTGGTCTTCTCCGAGCCTGGTGTTTGCTTCTCTCTGTGATGCAGGGAGAAGGTGAGGCAGGGAGGTGAGGCTGGAAGGCTCTGGATGGAAGAGTGAGACCTCCTGCAGGGATCAGCACTATCCCAACGCACTGCCCTGCCTGACAAGGTGCAGGGCGCCCAAACCCCTGGGCTCAGGCCCCGCTGCACAGAAAGCAAGACTAAGCATTTGCACGAAGCAATGCATGCTCAATGGGCCGGCCCTGCCCCTGGACCCGGGGTGTCTTTCCATCCGGACGTGCACGCTGTGCTCTGCACCCCTCTGACCACCGCCCCCCCGCGATTTCCCTGCAGCCGCCCCGGGGAAGCCCGCCCGGCTGGCCTTCCCGCTGCCCGCGGCCTCACCCTCCGCCCCCGAGGAGGTGGTGCTGGCCTTGCGGTCGTGGGACCTAGAAGCCGAACAGCTGCCCCGGGCGTCCTTGCTGCTCTTCCTCCTCCTCTTTTCCGACCCTCGCCCCCGCGAGCGGCTGCGACTCCTGGAGCGCTTGCGGGAGCCGCCGGGAGCCATGGCGCCGCGCTCTGCAGACGGGGAGACGCGGGCAATCGGAAGCTCTCAGCCCGCAGATCGGGCGCCCAGGTCCTCAGGGCCCGTCCCCCATCTTCCCTGGGGCAGGGATGTGAGCCACCCCGCAGCCACCTCACGCACGATCCTCAACCACGCACTACCCGCCAGGGACGCCGGGCCCACCGCCGCGGCCCCTTTAAGGGCCCGCCCCCCGCCGGGAGGCTCCGCGCCTGCGCAGGCGGCTCCGGCGTCCCTGGGACCGGCCGCGACCCTCACCCGCCAGGTGCGTTCTGAATCCCTCTCCACGCGCGCCCACCCGCACCCTCGCGCCCTCCGCCTCAAGGAAGGTCCCCGGGGTGGCCCGTTCCCTCCTCAACTGACCACCGGGGCCGACCCCTTGCGCCACGCCCTCGCGTAAGGAAGCGGTGGCGGGGAGGGGACTTCCGGCCGGGCCGGTGCTCTGAGAGGCCGTCCGGCTGCGAAGCGAGGCTGTGCCGCCTTTAGTTCCGTCTCCGGGGCGGCTCAGGGACCGGGAGTCTGGCGCGCCCACCTGGGTTTCAGAGGCGAGCCGAGCGGGAGATTCCACCTCCAGGCCGGTGCGAGGCCGTGCCTGCTCCCGCAGCTCCCAGCCGGGAGGCGTGCTGCGCAGCTGGGCGCCACTCCCCGAGCTCGCAGGCCCTTTGCTGCAGTTGTGCCCTCTTCCAAGATTGCCCTTCCAGGACTTCCGCAGCACCAGTCCCCCTGGGTCCCAGAGAAAGTGACTCCCTCCCTCTCCGCCCCCCCACATTGTACTCTCCCCACTCCCCCCTCCGCCCCCCGCCCAACCTGGGTTGTCTGCCCACCTGTCCACTCCATCAAGCCGTGAGTTCCACGGCTGAGACGCCCTGGTCTTTCCAACATCCCCACGTGGAGATGGTCAGCTCAAATGTCTATGAGGGGCCAGAGAGATCATGGCAGTGAATGAGGAAGAGACTCCTCAGGGGTGCCCCACAGGTGTGTGCGCCACGGGCAGCGAAGACTCTGCTCCAGCTGATTTCTGCAGTGTGGGAATGGCGTCTGGTGTCTCCAGACCTTCCCAGGGAAGCCAGAACCCCGGATTTCTGTATGGAAATGCCTGGTGTTCAGACGTGCTGCCCCGTATGCACAGCTGCACTCCTCTCCCCATTTGGGGGCTACCAAGTTGCAAACTCTTCAGTAATGACACCGGCAAACGCAGAGGGCTGTTATAAAGCACTTTATAAAGTTTATTTATCATTTGACTCTCACAACAGCTCTGACATAGGCACTTTCCAGATGAGGAAACGGAGGCACAAAGAGGTCCAGGGGCTCACCCAGTCACAGAGCTGGAAGTGGCAGAACCAGAATCTGAGCCCAGACAGTCTGGCTCCAGAGGCCCTGCTCTTTAACCCTCCACACCATTGTCACCAGCCACCCACGCTGTCCTGCCAGATGCTGACAGCGACACCTGGGCATTCCCCTGGGAGATCCCCTGGGCCACCGGGAGCCCCTTGTGCTGGAGTCCTTATTCACACACATCCCCTCCCCTCCCCCGCCATGCCCTCTTCCAGCACGCCCTGCAGCCAGCCACCGGTGCTGAGGCGAACTTGTGGGTCCATGTTCCAGTGCTCCCGGGGATTGGCCACGTGCACCTGCCCCTCGGCCCGGCTCCTTCCTGCCTTTCCTGCTTCTTGGCCTCCCTTCTCCGTCGACGAGCAGGAACCCCCACCTCAGGTTCTGCTTCTAACACACCTGGCCCAGCAGCCCGTCTGCAGAAAGAATGACCCGGAGCCTGCGTGTCCTATTGAACCAGGAAGAGCCGAGGGCTGCAGGGGCTTTATTCTGCCCGCCCACGCCACGCCGAGGGGGCAGAGCCCTCTGCTGTCCTGCCACCCCTGGCGCGGTCCCGCCCGGGCTCAGGTCATCGCACACACGTCCACGGTGGCGGGCTCCTCGCGGGTGAAGCCGTCGCCGAAGCCCTCGGCGTCCACCAGGTCGGGCTTGCGGCAGCACATGGGGCAGAGGCGGTTGCGCACAGCGGAGGCCCGGAGCCACACGATGAGGTTCCACCGCTCGCCGGTGCCCAGGGGCCGGGCCCCGTGCAGCTGGCCGCCCCGGTGCAGCACGCCCTGGCCCACCACGTGCTCCACCTCCAGGGGCGAGGCCAGGGCCGAAGGCACCTGCGGACAGCGGGGGTCAGGCCTGGGCACCCCCCCCCCCCCCGGCCCTGCCCCAGGGGTCGCACACACTCACCTGGAACAGGTCCCCAAAGTACAGGGCGCCCCCGGTGAAGGCCTTGCCCAGGGACACGTTGATGGTCAGCTCGGCGTTGTCGTAGTGGCAGCCCAGCTCTCGGTCCTGGCCGGGGGCGTACTTGACCACGAAGGCCCGGTGGCTGTCGAGCCAGCCTCCGCCGCCGTCCGGGTACAGGAGGGCCATCAGCGGCCGCAGGAAGCGCTCCCGAAGCGGCGTCACCAGCGGCTCATCCAGGCCCAGCTCGTGGAGCAGCACCTGGGAGGAGGGTGCCAGTGAGGCCCTGACGTGGGGAAGGATCAGCAGGGAACGTGCAAGGCCCCCTGGCCTGGGGCTGCTGCTGGGTTTGGCCAGTGGGAGAGCCCAGCAGGAGGTGGAGGCAGGAGAGGGCAGGAGGGCATTGGGGCTCCTGCTGGTTGTCTGGCAGCCCCTCCCACAGCCCCAGGTCCCGGCAGCTTCAGAAACCTCACCTGGCCCACTCCTTCAGGTCCCGGGACAGAAACGCCCCTCCCCCCCATTGCTGGCCTTGCCGGGGTCCTTCACCTCCTTTGCCGATCCTTACCCCAGCCCCACCCCACGGTGTCCCTTGTTTAACTCCATAATCCTGCCATTTTCCTTTACAGATAGAGAGACCGAGGCACAGAGAGGCTGCACAGCTGGCCCACAGCCCTGCAGGTCAGTCAGTCCCCCCGGGCCCCCGTGTCCCTGCCCCTCGGCCCGCCCGCAGAGCCGCACCCACCCCGTAGTTGTTCATGGTGTTGGGTCTGCCCTTGGGCATGTCCGACCGCTCGAAGTGCTCCAGCTCCTCCAGCAGCGCCTGGCAGAACGGCGCGGTGAACACCGGCAGCCGGTAGATCCGCTTCTCCTCTGCGGAGGGGGTGGGGTGGGGGGGACAGCCGGTTGGCCGGGGGGGTGGGGTGGGGGGGTGGGAAGGGGGAGCTTCGGGATGCGTCTCAGTCCCCCCGAGCTGTGTGAGCCTGGGCATGCCTTTTCACTTCCCCGGTCTCAGTTTCCTCATCTGCATAATGGGGATAGCTTCGGAACTCTATACCCCTCTCGGGGCTATGATGAGGAACAAATGCTGTATGGTATCAGCTCGGGGGTGGGGGTGGGGGTCTATTCTCCAACTCACTTCCTCCCCCACACATCCCTGGAGCCTCTCATCCTGCTCCCAAGGGTGCCCACAGTCTAGCCTTCAGACTCAGATGTGAGTTCCCATGAGGCCCTGAGATGGGGGGAGGGAGGGGGAGGGATTAGCCCGAGGACACCCAGCAGGCCAGCCTCGGGGCTGCGCCAGGATGCAGAGCCTGCTCAGGCTCTCTCTGCACCCCTCACCCCAGGGAACCCCCCGAGTCTGCACCCCAATTCAGAGGTTTCTTAAGAGTTCCCGTTCCCCACAGGGAAGGCTGAGAGGGGCTGCTTTTTGGTAGGGCCCTGGTGGGGAAGAGGCCCAGCTCAGAATGGAAATCGGCGCATTCTCAGCGGACTCGCACTTTCTGGCCAACTCATGAGCAGCCCCAGCCCCACCCAAACAGCCTCCTTACGATTTCAGCTGCTGTGGAGTGGGTGGTAATGAGTGCCCTCCCAGCCCGGAGGGGGTTTCATTCTACCCTGTGCCCCAGCAGGATGCTGGTGCCCGGAGGGGAGTGGCTTTTACCTCTGCCACCCCACCGTATCCCCCGGGCCCAGAATTCGGTACACATACCGTGCTCAAGCCTCTAAGTGCATTCATTACCTCTCACCTGATCATCAGGGCACCTTTCGAGATGGGTGGTATTATCGTCCCCATTTCACAAATGAGGAAACCAAGGCAGACAGATTGAGGAACGTGCAAGGTCCCCAGGCCTCGGGCTGCTGCTGGGTTTGGCCACTGGGAGAGCCCAGCAGGAGGTGGAGGCAGGAAGAGGGCAGGAGGGCATTGGGGAGCGGGGCTGTGTGCTCCTGCTGGTTGTCTGGCAGCCCCTCCCACAGCTCCAGGTCCCGGCAGCTTCAGAAACCTCGCCTGGCCCACTCCTTCAGGTCCAGGGACAGAAACGCACCCCCTATCGCTGGTCCTGCCGGGGTCCTTCACCTCCTCTGCCGATCCTTTACCCCAGCCCACCCGGCACTGTCTCAGCTGTCCCTTCTGTAAGCTCCCAGCCACCCCGGCGGGCTCATGCCTGACAAGACGCTGAGCAGCTGTGTCTCCTGGGTGAGTGCGTGGATGAATCTCGACGCCCTGCTCCTGTGCCTTCCAGGCCCTGCTGGTTTGGTTTTTGGAGGCGCACATCCTGGACAGAGGGGACCCCAGTTTCCCACCCCCAAGTCCTGCCAGGTCATGGGGCCAACACCTCACCCGACACTGTCTCCAGCCGCTGGAGGAGGCCCTTGAGGTTTGCACCTGGCGAGGCGCTGTACTCAGCTGCGGCCAGAAACTCGGGGGCCAGAGCCACATCCTGGGGGAGCACACACACCGCTGTAGGGCAGGCAGCCGCCACGGCCCGGAGGCCTCCCCCTCCCAGTCCCCCGCCCCGGCTGGGTACCTGCAGGGGGTTGTAGATTTCAGGCCGTGCCGGGCGGTAGGAGCTGGCGATGAGGGCTTTCCTGGCAGCCGACTCCTGCTCTAGGCGCTTCCGCCGCTCCACCTCCTGCTCCAGCTGGGGTAGCACAGGGCCTGGTTACCAGGACAGGGCCTCTCTCATCCCCTCGAGGCCCTTGTACAGATGAGGAAACTGAGGCTCAGGAAGGCCAGAGCGGGGGGCCCAGGCCGGGAGACACGTCTTCCTACGCTCCAAACTCTGACAGGGGTGATTGCAAGCGCCACGCTGTTAGCTGAAGGGGACTGGCAGGCCTGAGGCTGGGACACAAATCTAAACCGGAAGGTCTGGGCCGGGTGTGCAGGGGTGCTGGAGGGCGGCGGGTGTTACCTCTTCTAACAGCTGCTGGAAGTCCTTGGGGGTGACACAGCCTCGGCTGCGCAGGATCTAGGAGCAAAGAGGTCAATGGACACGACTACGTGACGCTGGGCAAGTCACTTAACATCTCTTGAGTCTCCGTTTCCCCTCCTCACATGGAGAGGAGAGCCCGGACCGCACAGGACCGTGGTGAGGATGAAGGACGCGGGAAGCGCCAAGTCCAGAGCGGGGCTCCCAGCTGCTCTCACGAGACCGACAAACCACCCTGAGCCAGGCCCGGCCCTAAGCACAGATATGTCAGCTCATCCATACGACGGCCTCACCAGGGAGCTACGCTTGTCCCCAGGGAAGGGGAGGAATCGGGGGCACCGCGAGGCCGAGCCACTGTGGCGGTCAGATCTGAGCCCGCGGGCAGAGCCAGCGACCCCGGGCACCAGGTCCCCCCTCCGCCAGCCCTCCCGCGCCTTCCTCCGCGGGGCCGCCGGAGCCCACGCACTCACGGGGCCGTAGTCCGCGCGCAGCTGCTGCTCGCCCCGGAAACGCACGTGCAGCCCGTAGCGCGCCACGTACAGGTTCTCGGAGCAGAAGCAGGCGCAGCGGCAGAAGCGCTGCGGGACGCCCGCCGTCGCCATGGTGAACTGTGCGCGCGCGCGCGCAAGCGCGGCCACGGGGGTTTCCGTAGGAGCACTTCCGGGTACGTCCACTTCCGGCAGCCAAGGGTCCGGTCTAAATTCCCAAGCGCAGAGAAGGACGAAGACTCCCCGAAAACGGTCTGCGGTGTAGAAAGATGTTCTTGAGCCCCCCTTCCCCCCAAGACCTTTGGCCACCTCCCTTGCCTGCTCGGAGCTTTTGAAGAACCAGCCAACTCCACGGGGACAGTTTCTACCGCGTCTCCTCCCAATGCTATGAGCCATCCAGTTCTGTGCGTCTGAGCTTGGGTTTAGCATTTTTTTCTCCCCGGTTCCCTGTCCCCGCCTTCCCCTTGCCCCCGCTTTCTCCTAGGATTCACCGCTGTTTGCCACAGCGTCTCCACAAAAACATTCCGTCCCGCGTGACTTCCGGTGGCGCTCCTGTTGCAGTCAGGTGTGGGGCGGGGGTACAGGGCGTGCACAGTCCGCGGCCACGCCCCGCACAAACCGGTTCCAGTTCTGCGCAGCCGCAGTGCGAGATGAGTGCTAGTGCTCTTAGGTTGCAACCCAAACTGCGGGACTCCCATCGCCACACACACCAGGACCCCGTCATGGTACTCCGTGCACCCCCCAGGCCCAGGTCTGCAGAACTGGATGAAGTAGCTTTGATTGGATAGCAAACCTACTACCGAGATGGGAGAACTAAGGCGTGGAGGAGGGGAGGCAGTCCCTTACCCTGGAATTGGTCCCTGACCCCGCCCTAGAGTTTCCTCCATGACAGCGTTGTGCGGGGAATGGGGTTGGGGAGGAAGACTCGGGGCTTCAGGACTTCCGGCCAGACCCCAGATAAACGGGTGACTATAAGTGACACCGCCTGTTGTCCCAGCTTCCTCTCTGCTGGACTTCTGGATCTCTCACCCGCCTTGCATCCCTGCAGCAAACCCTTGAGCTATATTATATACTGTTACATCTTCCTGTTACACAGATGGGGAAACTGAGGCTCCGAAGTGCAGTGACTGGCCCCAGGTCACTCACCAGTAAGGGACACACATGAGTTTTGAACCCAGCAATCTACTCTCTGATCAGTGGATGAGGGTGAGATGAGGAGGGAATTTGGGGGTTCTCTCTGCTTGTCATTTTCTTAATGAGTCCGCTTTCCTTTCCCCTGTTCTTACACATGCATGTGAGCCACCGTGAACACATGCACTCCAGCACATACGTCCATGCTAACATTTACACGCAACCACATATGCCATCAACACACTCACCCCCCCATACACACCCTCGTGAACACATGCCACACTGGTGCACACTTCTCACACACCTACTCACCCACATTCACATCCCACATTCACCTGCTCTCACTCACCCAGGCAGCACAGCCCGGTTCCTGTCTTCTCTCTGGCAACTTACTGAAGCCCCAGGGCCCAAAAGGGAGAGGGAGACCTTCACATCCTCCCCCCCGGAACCCCCTCCATCAGCACCTTTGGGCATCCAAGGCTCCAGCCAGCAAATGTCCTTGCCTTTCCCCAGTACCTCCGGGGACCAGGAGAGGGCGCCTGCACTCTGGGCAAACCCTGTACCAACAGCCTGAGTGGTTTTCACGCTGACTGGGCAGGGGCTTTCCGACCTGAGTGTGTATGTCTGTGAGTGTGAGCTGTGCACGTGGAAGTGTGTTTTGAGTGATAGACAAGGTCCTTGCCCTTCTGAAGGTCTCAGTCCAGTGAGGGGAGACGGGCAAGCGAGGAAGCAATCACATGATCAGGTTAGTCTCTCTTGGTTGCGAGTGCCAGGACGCCCAGGGCCGGGGTGGCCTCTTTGGACAGGTGGCCAGGGAGGCCCTTGCAGGAGTGCCATTTCAGCGGAGCCCTGACTGCGGCAGCAGGATCCGGCAGGAAAGCGTCGTAGGCAGGGGAACAGGGTGCAGGTCACTTAACGTCCACTGTGGGCTGAACTGGAGCAGCAAGGGTCACGGGAGGGCAAGCCGGAGGCCATGGGACCAGGTGCTGTTGGGGCCGAGTCACTGGGCCCAGGAGGCCACGGTTAGCATTTTGGATTTGACCCTCCCTGCAAAGGGGAAGGTGTTTAATCCTCACAGCAACCCCTGTGGGGCAGGAACTCTCCTCACTTTACCGATGTGGACAAGGAGGCTCAGAGAGGCCCAGTGACCCACCCAGGGTCACACAGCTCGTAAGTGGTAGAGGCCGGAAGGGAACTCCAATCTGACTGAGCGGTTGGTTGTTTATGAAGGTCTGCCTGGGCGCCCCTCCCCCCTCGGGCATAAAATCAAGGTCCCTGGGCCACGGGGACCTGAGTTCCAGCCCAAGCCGTCTGAAGCCACCAGTCTTCCTTCAGGAGGATGGCCGCCGGGGGCCAGCTTCCTTTTCAAGGACCCAGTCTCCCGGCCCAGGGCTGTGTGGCCTGAGAAGGTGTTTAGAGTTTCACAGGCGTCTTGATTGCCCAGCGATAGTGAAGGGCCCTCCTCGCCAGCATAGGATCTGTTTCCCCAGCTGGGTGTTCAGCACCTCCCCCCCCCCAGGCCTTCTCCCCAGCAGGCCCCCCTCCCCCCGCCCCCACCTCTGGCAGGCCAGCTCCCCAGCCTCCACCTCGCCGGCCTGGAGCAGCTCCGCGGCCTGGTCAGGTTTCTCCCTCTCGCAGCAGTTTGCAAGCTGCGCCTGCTCTGCCTGTCAGCGTAGACTGGCCCTCCTCAGAGACAGTGTCCCAGCCCCCAGCCCGCCCCAGCCTGGGCTCAGTCTCCAAAGAGAACCGCAGCGAGAAGACTGTAGCAGTAATCACCAAATCAGGGTGACTCCCAGCCAGCAAGGACGGGTTTTATTAACGGCAGCAGGTGTCTCCGCTCCCTCCATTTTACAGATGAGGAGACTGAGGCTCGGGGAAGTGCAGGGGCCTGTCCAGGGTCATAAACCCAGCGCGCATTAGAACACCCATCCCGTGTGGTTCCAGCGCGAAATGGGTGGTGTGTGCGCGCACGTATACACGTGTGTATGTCTGTGTATATATATATGCATACACACAGGTTGTGTGTCTGTGTACATGTAGCACCTGCCTTTGAATTAACATGGAGTACCCACACAACAAAGGTACAGATCATAAGGGTACAGTTTGGTGAATTTTCCCAAACCAGACACCCATGTAACCAGCACCCACATCCCGAACAGGACATGGCAGCTTCACAGAAAGCCCCTCCCCGTGTCCCCTCATCTCACTCACTGCCCACCTCCCAGGGGTCTCAAGAGCAAAGATCTGTTCTTGAATTTGCTACAAAGAAAACCACATAGGAGTAGTTTTTATGTGCTGCTTCTTCCGCTCAGCACGATGCTCTTGAGATTCTTCTGCAGGGTGTGTAGCAGCCGTTCATCTTTTTCCTGGTTGCATGGTATTCCGTGGGGGGTGAGCATTCTTCCATCCACTGAGCATTCTAGAGCTAACGGGCATTTGCATTGTTTCCAGTTTGGAAACATTCTTTTTTCTTTTTTTGCAGTAAAATAGACATGATGAAAATTTATCATTTTAACCATTTTTAGTAACTTTTTTTTAAAAGAGCAGTTTTTTTTAAAGAGCAGTTTTGCTGTGAACCTTTTAAAGAGGTTCACAGCAAAATTGAACAGAAAGAGATTTCCCATATGCTCTCTGCTTCTTCCCCCACCACACACACACGCACACACATCCAGAGTCTCCCCCCCACTATCAACACCCTGAACCAGAGTGGATATTGGTCACAGTCGGTGAAATCCCATTGACACATCCAAAGTCCATGGTATACACTAGGGTTCCCTCTTGCGGTTTTATAGAATCTGGTGTGTGGCCCTGTACAATGACGTGTGGCCACCATTGCAGTCCTAAACAATAAATTGAATTTTAAAAATTCTTCTGTGCTCTGTCTATTCACTGTTCCCTCCTCCTAACCCCTCGTAAGTCTGACCTTTTTTTTTTTTTTTTTTTTTTTTTTTATTGTCTCTACAGTTTGTAGTTTTTTCAGGCTGGCTTCTTTCACTGGGGAAATGAGCATTCGAGGTTCATTCATGTATTTTCATGGCTTGACAGATTTCTTTTTAGCGGCGAATAACGTTCCATTGTCTGGATGGAACCCAGTTTGTCTGTTCACCTGCTTCACCATTTGTTGAAAAAATTACCTTTGCTCCATTGTATTGCTTTTGGTTCTCCGTCAAAGATCAGTTGACTGTTTTTATGTGGGTCTATTTCTGGGCTCTCTGTTCTGTCCCATTGATCTGTCTATTTTTTGCTCAAGACCACATTGTGTTCACTTCTGCAGCTTTGCAGTAAGTCTTGACGTCGGGGAGCGTCAGTCCTCTGGCTTTGTTTTTCTCCTTCAATGTCGAGTTGGCTGTTTTCACACAGCAAGAATGACAGAGTCTAGATCTGGACCCAGATCTGAGTCACTCTGACTTTTAGGTATTCCATCCAAGATAGGCTCTCAGGTGCCATCATATACTTGCTTTTGTTTTTGCACAAACAGTAACATACTTCAACTGTATTCTGTCCTTTTAAAAATAATTTTTGAGCTGAAACCGGCTTGGCTCAGTGGATAGAGCATTGGTCTGTGGACTGAAGGGTCCCAGGTTTGATACCTTGGTTGCGGGCACATCCCCCAGTAGGGGTGTGCAAGAGGCAGCTGATCAATGATTCTCTCTCATCAATGTTTCTGACTCTCTATCCCTCTCTCTTCCTCTTTGTGGAAAATCAATAAAGTATATTTAAAGATATATATAATTTTGAGAGAGAGAAGAAAGGAGTGAGTGAGGGAGGGAGAGAGAGAGAGAGACCACACATTGATTTCTTGTTCCACGTACGCCTTTATTGGTTGATTCTTGTATGTGCCCTGACCAGGAATCAAACCTGCAACCTTGGTGTGTCGGTTGGTGATGCTCTAGCCAACTGAGCTACCCAGCCAGGGCTCTGTCCCCGGCTTTGACTCCGTACATTTAGGTCATTCCGTACCTTTGCGTAACCATGTGTTAGGT